GTTGGGTTATTATACATATAGGTAGTTGTGATCCTCATTTTCCCTCCTTGAGTAATTCATCCCCCCACACAATTAAGCTCATCATCTCTGATTCCCGTGATACGTATCCTCTTCCTTGCCCGGCGAAGGATATCGTGGATCGTAGTCGTTAAACTCGGGCCCAGCCGCAGCACGACCTGGAGCAACAGATGCTCGAGGATCAGCAGCATAACGGCTGTTCAAGTGCCCTTCAGCAGCTCGGGGTGCTGGGTAGGCGCTCTGCTCCCTCATGGGAGGTCGAGTGTCGTAGGTATAGAAGTCTCTCTCATCATGTTGAACAGGTCGTCTGATGAAGTAGTCGCCGTATTGACTTCGGACCTCGACGAATTCATAGGCCCCAGCAGGAGGGCCTACCGTTGCACGGTAGTCAGAATAGTCGTAGTAGACGCGATGGGGTGCAGGCTCTGTCTCATAATGATGTACAGGTTGCCCGTATCGAGGGAGAGGACTGCGTGTTCGAAAACGTGCTGGATTATGGCCCTCGTACCAGCCCGAGGGAGCGTATCGATGATCCTCAAAGACACGACCATCAGGTACGCCATATCTGGTCTCCTGAGGCAGGGTATCTCGGGCTCTCATCCCTCGGCCTATTTCGCGTCCCGATTCGTCGACGTAGACAACTTCCTCCTCAATCGCAAGACCGCGATTCTCGAGGGCAGGCCGATCCTGTCTGCTGCCCCTACGAGCCTCAATGAATCCGGATGCTGCGCTCACCGGAGCGTCAACAGGGGGCCGATACTCCTGAGGTCGGTTTCCAACTGAAGCGCTCCTATCGCGTGGCCCAGACAGCTCAGCGACAGAATAGCGCTGTTCCCGAGCATCGCGATAGTCGTGCGAACGCTCATCGCGCCAATGCGTCGGGTTCCGGGGTCGGGTGGATGTAGATGGTGTGTTGTTTAACTCATCTTCTGTCTTGACCTTGACTTCTCTTCGCTCGGTTCGCTTGGCAGATTCAGATTCTGAAGCTGGTTGACGATCAGACCGAGGTCTCTCTTGTACGGAGATACTAGTTGTAGGTTGCTCCTGAGCTGCAACAGCACGTCTTTTCTTGTGGCCACCGTAAACTTCGCTGGCAGGGCGAAGATGTGGAATGCCTTCCCCGGCCTTGTCGTACGCTTGTGCCTGGGGTTGAGCCCGGGGCAGGGGCTGACTGATGCCAGGTGCTTTCTCCGCGGAAGACTGAGGCACTGGACGATGCTCGAGTTGTTTTTGAGCATTAGCCTCAGGAGCTTTGTAGGTTTGACGCTGCTGTGTACCATGCCCACCTGATGCTTCAGCAGAATTCTTGCCGGGCTTACCGCTCGGCTTCACGACTGGGGTGGTCTCCATCTCCTCCTCCGAAGAGCCTTGCTGGAGGAATCTGTCTATAAACGATTTCTCGAATGCCCATGGAATCGCATCCTCCACAATCGCATGTGCAGCTTGGTTATTCTGCAGCTTACGCTTCACCTTGGCCAAGCAGGCTTCGTCTGGAAGCGAGATCATGTCCACTCGCCAGTCCATGGGTGCCAGTCCCTGAGCTCCGGGGCCCTCAACGTGCTGTTGCATGAAATGCGTGACTAGGTTGACCAAGGTGAATGCGCGTCTGCTGGTGCACGCCTTGCACGAGATGTCGTTGGCAACCCGAACTGCGCGCATGTCCTTGTGGCTCGACAATGCCTCTGCGAACATTGATAGAGGTGCTGCTCCATCGTAGTCTTTCTGGAACTTCTTGGCTATACGATGGATAACTGTAGAGACCTTGATGGAGGGGTGTAGCTTCTTGACACCCCCCAGTTTGAACCAAGTATCCTTAGCAATCTTAGCCATGGCATTCAGCCGTGTCTTATACGGAACTTTTGCCCGTCCAGCATCAAAGGTGCTTTGGTGGTCGGGGTATGACCCGAAGTCATACGAACAGGGCCCTGATGTGTGCGGTTCGACGTAGGCATTTGTTTGGCCATGGGAGCCATATGCCGCCCCTGAAGAGAATTGTGGAGGAAAGGAAGAATATGTCATACTGTCCGGATAGGCCGCAGACGAGTAGGGTGCTCCATAAGCATGAGGCCCAACACCGCCATAGTCTGTTGGTGGCACAGTGGTAGGCAGAGCAGAGCTGTAATGCAACGGAGGTGCTGGGAACGGTGCGCTGTAGCCAGGAGGACCATATCCCGCTGGCGGAGCTGGCTGATAGCCAGCAAATCCTTGTTGGGCCGTGTCACCTGTCTGCGGGAGCGAGTGCGATGAAGACTTCCCATACTGGCCAAGTTCTATGGCTCGTGGATCAGGACTGAATGGAGGCACTGTTGGCCATTCCGCCCTCCAATGCACGACAACATTGCCCAGACTAAGGACACCGGTGTGTTTGGCTGCGTAATGCTGAATCACACCCTCGAAGCCAAAGAACTTGAGGTTGCCGCTGGAGTTGCAGCCGTTGCAAAGGAATAGCTCCTTTCGAAATTGCTCAGTGCGCGGCTTGACCTTCATGTCGAATACCCACTTCATGTTCTCCAGCGTCAGCTTCTGGGTCCATGGTCCTTCTGGTGGCTCGACGATCGGCTCCTTTCCTGCAGCAATAGCCGCAGCTGTATCCTTGGAAACTTCCGCATAGAACCGCTTGCGGACGTAGAGTAGAACGTCTGCTGCAAATTGCGGGGTGTTCTTCCTCTTAACCTTTTCACCATTGTTCCACCCCTTGATGATTTCGTCCGCATATGCTGATATGCGAGCCCTCACAGGTCCCTGGATGTCGTCCCACTCCTGGTCAGGGACTTCCCTCGGTTCTCTGGCGGGCTTACTTCCGTTTTGTTGTGTCGCGAGCTTGTCTTGGAGTGCTCGAGCATTCGCGGTGTTCTCCCTCTCTCTGAGTTCGGCATCTGACCGTTGAGCAAGAAGACGCGGCTTCAGTAGTTCCCATGCGTTATCATCGAGTGGAGTGATGAGTTGGAGAGCTGCCTGGAAGGACGGAATATGGGCCAGAACACTGGCAGTTAGTGGAGGATCAAGAAGCATCGCACGACGCTCAATGTCGGCACGTCTCTGCGCCTTAAGCTGAGCCACCTCTTCCTTGGTTCTTTTCTGCAGCCCTTGGGGACGAGGTTGTTGAAGAGGCGTGTCCGGCTTCCCTGCGAGGCTAGGTATTTCGTTCGGGTTGGAAGGTCTGTCTTGGTACTCCTCACGGCTGCGAGTCAAGTCGGATAGAGGCTGGCCAGGGAGAGGCTTGGGTAGAGAAGCAACTGGTACTGTGTTCCCTGCTCTGGGAGGACCAAGCTTTGTAGCGCTCAGAGACACTCGCGCCTGTTTGAGCCCTCCAGCCAGCTCCCACTTCTCCCAGCGCGAGGCGTCGGCCAAAGCTTGCTTGCCCCGAATCTCTAAGCCCTTGACCCATTCTTCAGTGGCTGCGGAACCCAATGCTTTGACTTGTTCAAACTCATTCTTGATCTGATTAATGTGTTCTGACCAAAAGAACTTTGTCACCTGCGTGTTTGGGGGGAGAACTCGAGCTTGCATGACACGAGGAGGTAGAACGTGCAATTGGTCAGTCACGAATATCGGAGGAAGAGCTGGAAGCAGGAGTGAGGGGGTTGTAGAAGACAGGAGGACGTCGATTTCCTATCAAAACTGTCAGATGGAAGCATGCCATGATGCTGCTGGTAATACTCACCTTTGTGCTTCTCTTCACCAAGCAAGTTCCACAGGTATAGACAGAAAACGGAAAAATTGGGGAGACGCCCTTGGCGCCTGGCCCGCGATGCCACTCATCGACAGCACGGAAAGATTGCAGATCGTCCTTTGAACCACAAAACTGACACGCTGTAGAGCAGATGAGACGCCACATGTGCAGTTCTGACTTGCCTTTCAACGGGGCAGGCATACGAGGACAAAACAAGCGTCTCGAGGCCTGCCATATTGCTTCAGGCTTCAAGTGCGGGAGAACAGAGGGCAAATCATTGCGACGCGCAAAGGGAGTTGTGGAGGAAGATGGACTGAGAAAAGTATGGAAAAGTTTGTTGACAGACAACAAACGGCCCAGAGTCTTGGGCGAAACAAGAGTGAAGATATGTTGCCATATCCCTGCTGGGAGCTGTTTTGCCCGGTCCGTCGTAGAGCTTGGAAGCTTTCTCGAATGGCCTGGTCCGTCTTCCTGAAGCCTTACCCTCTTCACGTTGTCGGGCTGGGTGGGATCCTTGGAGCCTGGTGATTTGCGCTTGTTGCCAGAAGTGCCACTGGACTGGGTGATCTTGTCGAAAAGAGCAGCTGCAGGATCGTAGCTGGAGGCATCAGAATCCTCATTGTCGGGTTGGTCAGTCATGTCAACATCCGCGCGGTTGGTGTGATCGACGCCTGAGGCTGCTTGAGTGAGCGTCACATCTGAGGCATTGGCCCCGATGTTTTCCAACCCAGAAGACATTCTATCCAGAAGCTCCAGACGAAAGAAACACGTTGACGGAGAACAGAAGAAGAAAAAAACGGCTTGGGGAAACCTCAAGCATGTGAGAGCGGCAGTTAACACTTGTCAGAGGGGTGGCGCGTAGCAACGAAGGAGTACTTTCGTTGCAGTCTAATGAAATGAAGAAATAGGAGGAGTTGCATGGAAAATGCCTCCTCTATATCTGCACTCCATTAGCTTGCGATAGGCACGATAAAGGGCGACGGTGATTATGTGTCAATGGAATGGATGTGTTGGTGTTTGGGATGCAAGAGAAGGACGCGCTGATGCGTGATGATGCTTGATGGCGGCAAACCTGCGAAAAGCTTCGTTTCTGACTGAGGAAGGACCCACCCTCCACACGGTTTCCTGCATGACGTAAGCAGGCATTCAACAACTACAGCTGCATCAAGCCGTTGACAGCGGGAGGCAGCATTTAATCAATCACATGTGATGCAAAATATCTTGTTTAGAAATGGAGTGTTTGCTTTTTTATTCCTTTGTCCAACGTCGCGTCATACACATACACAACATGAGGTGCGAGTCCCAATTACTATACAAGAATCCTCGCTCTATCATTGCATGTTCATATCCCCTCCTCCTCCCCCTCCACCTCCACGTCCTTGAGAAGCGCTACCACTACGCCCGCCTGTCGAGGAGGACTGTTCAGGGGACGATTGATCTCCTGTTGCGCCGTATATTTGGAAGCTCTGATCTGCTCCCCAATTGGCCATCTGCGTGTAGTTCTCGAAGGCATTCTACACTTGTTAGCTACGTCTGTGCAGGAGACTTGTAATAAGCTCAACTTACCCAGTCAAAGTTGGCCGCCATATCAATCCCAGAAGTTGTTTGCCCCGTCCCCATGTTGGCAAACATGGATGAAAACGGAGAAGCTGGGGCTGCGGCGCCAAACCCATCGGTCTGGAAATCAATACCCTCGGGGGCAGTCATGCCAAAGTCCATGCCCATGAACGGAGCCTGGTTTGGTGTTGAGAAGGGATTAATTCCGGTATTGAAGTCAGGGAGAGTGTTGGGGGATATAAGACCCGGTGCAATGGCCGGTGACGTATCGGCGCCGATGCTCGCAGTCAAGCCCGCCATCGGCTCTGACTGCAGGATGGGCTGCTCAGTACCGCCCGTCGAGGGATCCTTTATCTTGGCCAACATGATCTCGATGATCTTGCTTGCCTTGAATGCCTCCATAGACGTATCCGCAAGCGTCTTCCAGATGTCTTTTGCTGTTTCCAAGCTTCCGATCATCCTGGACCGCTGCTCCGAGTTCCACATAGAAGCCCCCTCGTTGTCCTGTGGGGTCCCAGATTGTGCTGCCATGTTGTCAAAGTGCAAGTCCAAGATGACGAGCATCGCGGGAAGCGTGAAGTCCTTGGTGGCAATCGACTTGACGAACCAGCTGACTGACCGCAGCCTTCCGCGAGACTGCGACTCGCGGTACAGGACCGCAAGATGATCTAGGGCTGTCAAGGAGGCCTCGATGGCGGCCCTTCGAGAGTGGGCGTATCTTGCGCTTTGTCGAGCTCGCGGAAGGTATTTCCGGTGGAGTAGACAAAGAATCTTCTGATACAGAATGTCCACGTTGAACCTCGCGATTATTAGTGTCACCGGGTCATGAGAGCCCTCCAGTGTGGTTAGTTTCAGGTGTGGTGGTAATTCGTGCATGATCTGCCGCAGCTTCGCGTCGAAACGAATGATCTCATCGTATGGGACATGCTTGCCCACTTGATTCGTAGCCTGAAGGATATTTCCTAGCTCGTTACATAGCCGTGACTTGGCAATCATGTAGGCGATAGGGGTCGGTTCTGTCGATGGTCGTGATGGGGGTAGTTGTTTCGTGTCTGGGCCAAACTCCTCGTCACGGATGTTATTGGGCAACTGCGTGTCGCAGTCATGCTCATATATCATGCTGGGCAAGGAGACCTGGTGTGAGAAGACAACATCGGACATTCGAACGAGTGCCCATGTCCGCCGCCTCATTTCCTGGCAAGTTGTTAGTCAAAGAACGCCAGATCATCAAAGTCAAAGAGGAGAAACCTACAGCTTGGAAAGGAGACACAGACGGGAACCACTTTGAATCTCGATGATAGCCCATGCGGAAGGCAATTCGAGTGATCAACGACACAATCAACCACAAACCCAGGTCAGCATCCCAGCGAGAGGAGTACTCTCCAAAGACGTAGAGAATCATGGTTTCGACTGTGTACTCGACAGGCTTGGTGTAGTCCGACTTGATCAGACATTGTACCGTCCGCAGCCGATATTCAGCTGCCATCTCGAGCGTCCGGCCCTTCCACTCCGGAGGCTCGTCACCAACTTTGTGAAAACTTAGCATGGCGAGGCAGAGAACCGAATAGAGCAACCCAAGCCACATGATTGGTGTCTTGGAAGGATCTTGCCAGTGCCTCAACATCTGCTCCTTGAACGTCGGCTCGTGGATGATGTTCACGGCGTTGTCCATAGAGTTGAAGTATCGGTCGCACAGCGCCAGGACGGCTGACTTGGGTGGAAGTTCGGCGCGGATCTCCATCTCTGATGCTGGAACGGCTCCCAGCAGGAGAGTTGGCCCTTCGCGCGCAGCCATAGGTTTTGACTGCTTGACTCGCTCATAACTAGACTCCAGCTCCTTTTTATGAGAGTTGAAGTAGTTTTTCACCTCGGAAATGTCTGCGAGGATGGTGTGCCAGTGTTGTTGTCCGACGTATAATGACTTGCCCTTATCTGTGTCCACCTTTAAGAATCCCAGGGATGTCGCCAATCCTTCTTCTTCTTCGTCGCTATTCTCGTCGTCGTCGGCCATGACGGCCTCGTCTCCTCGTCCGACCTTGGCAGAGGATGCGCTGTCCGTGACAGATTGTGATGTCGCCGCTGCGGCGGCGGCGGCAGATGCAGCATCTACATTAGCACCTCCGTGCATCAGAGAGAGAACTAGGCCTTCTAAACGGTCAATACGATTCTGCATGTCATCTGGACTTGAGTCTCCTTGACTTTGATTCTTCTTGCGAGTAACTGGCGTCGCATAAGAACATGACGTTGTTCCCATGCCCTCACGCTTAGTACAGTTACTGCAAGGGTGATTTCTGTCACATTTTCTACCAAAATTGTTAGTAAGAGTTGACGTGGTCATTTCTGGCTTGGGCTTACAATCTGTCAGCAAGGTTAGCATGTACACAACAGACTCGTGAGGAACAACATACTTGCGTGTCCTGCAAGGATAACAGCTAAGAGGTACACGATTCCTCTTCCTCACAACGCGGAACTGCTCCTCGGGAGAGCGACCTCCCTGGGAGGAGTTGGTCGAGGGGGGTGTTGGGGTCATTGTGGAGAAGGGAAGCGAGATGGTATATCTCGACAGATGAGGTGGTGAGATCCGGCGTGAAGGCGGAAAACAGGGTGAGAATGAAGCTGACCAGCTTCAGGGAACCGGCATGAATATATTGAAGCTCCGGGCTTCCGGCTTAGAGAGCACCGGACCTCCGTGCAGGAAGTCAATAGGGCACAACACCTTCAAGGTACCGGTCCGGGAGTCGGTTGCAAGCACGGCGACCTTCTGATGGGTCGGGGATTGGAACACAAGCGCCTAATGCCGAGTCACAACCAGGCAGCCGCTTCGCCTCCAATGGCCCAGGGAAGAGATGAGTGGCGTCTTTCTGGTCCGAGATGTCCGCGCGCCCTTACAACTACAGTCCAGGTAGCGTGTACAGTACAGCCCTCCTCCTGGTCCGCAGCAGAGCGCAGCGCAGCGCGAATCGCCGATGGGCGGGCAGTTCTGAAGATTGGTCGAAGAACAATGGGACGGGTGAGCTCGGTGTCGCGGGCGTGTGCTAAAGGCAGCGAGAAGAGCTACAGACGCCACGGCATCGATTGACTCGGACGGGATGAAGAAAAAGGCGAGGCGATAGGCGCGAAGGCGAAGAGAACGCAAAAGTACAGCAGCTGCAAGGCGGGAAAGGTCGGTTTGCGATGGATGGATGGATGGTCGCTCGCTCACTCAGCAAAAATGCGAAAACGTTGTGGGAGCGCCGGTCTGAGGGATGACGAAGCGAAAGCAGTAAGAGAGCCCAACCACCAAAGAGACGAGATGGTTGATGGATCAAAAAAGGATAAGGTATGGATGGAGGAGGGTAAGGAGGGGTCGTTGCTTCCGATCGTCCCCTGTTATTTCCTCTCTTTCACATGAACATAAGCTTGAGCTTCTTCAAGGAGAAGGAGGGGCAAACAAGAAAGAGCCCAAGAGGCGCAAAGGATTCTCGGATCTTGTCAAGGACGTCAGCGTCAGCCTTATTAAATGCGACGGGCTAGAGCGGAGGCAACAATTTTTAGCTGGATCATGTTAGCACCCCTACAGCCAGAGTAGAGGCTACGCGCGTATCGAGTAGCATCCTCACGCATCCCCAATGGTGGGGTTGATACGCCAAAGGGGGGCTGCCGCATCGATCCTGGTTACATTGGCTCCTTGAGGGCAGTGGAAGCGGGAAATTCTCCTTGTCAAACCCTTGCTGAAGCCAAGTTTCTTTCGGTGGCTTCCAGGCCTTGACCGGGAATCGGACGGGAATCCCGCCGTCGTCCGTTCAGGTCAGGCCGTGAACACCGGCTTGGCATGGGAACTTATAAGCCTACGTATGCCTCGCGGTGCCTGCGACGACGCCTTCAGGGTTTAACTCGACAGGTGGTGCTATGAATTGGTCCAACTCGGCCGAACAGACCGACGTGGCTTGCTTCGGTTGCTTGCTTGTTTGATCAGTCATGGCTTTCAGAATCACAAGCTACATCTCGCCCAGGTATCAGGTACCAGGTACTAACGAACTCTTTGCTCAGGTCGAGGTCGAATCTGGATGGAATCACAGCGACACCTGTTGAAGGGCGTTGTGCTCTGCAAGCGAATGCCATGCCATGCCATGCATGGGCTTAGGTGAGCCATACTCACGATGCCTGCAAAGGGAACCACCAAGACCATCAACAGCTGGCACACATCGGATCCTAGACAAGCCCGACCGCTCCTCACTCGCTAGCTCATCTCGCTGTGAGTCATTCCTAAAAGCTCCATCGCCCTAAAACCAAGAGAGAAACGGATTTCGGAGGACGGGCGTCGATTATCACCGGGATTTGTCAGCGCTTGTCACTCCACACGGCCCCGGTTGACGCCAGGTCGATCATTGCCATTCCACAGCTTCGACACGAACGGGCGCATCAAGCAACATGATCAAGATTATGCTTTTATGTCGCTGCTGCTGACTCGAGGAATATATCATTAGCTCATCCTCTCCTTGCTTTCATAACTAATCCGAATACTTGGGCGAGAAACGGTTAATATCGGCTCCCTCATGATCAACTCAACCCTCCCTGCCCAACGCGACGACCCGTGAAGCTTTTGGACACGACCTGATACCATCCAAAGGAAGATTTACACGGCTGGCCGAAGAAACATACGCCCAGTAATGCCCCGCGGTCACATAATCCCCATGATTATCCCTCCGCCTTGGCTTGACTACCCTTCCCATTATCCCTTGAATGCATAGTTTTGTATCATCCTCACATGCCATCACTTCGTCATCATAGGGCTTGATGATATCTTACCGCCGGAACCTCTCACTTGTAAGAGATTCTACTCATACCTCAGCGGCATAGTATCCGGCAGACTCGCTAGGGCCACATTCACGTCGTGGAAATAAGATGCGCACAAATGTTCTCGCAATATGTTCCATTTTCAGGCCGCTGCGCCAGCGGTGGTGCTCACGCTGTACTTGCCGAGAAACTCGGGGTCGTTGCCAATCTCTTCCTTGACCTGTAGAGCTGTTAGTTTGGCCAAGCAGGAGACTTTGTGCGAGTGACTTACAATGTCCAATCCGCCGACGAGTTCACCATCCATCCAGAGCTGGGGGTATGTTGGCCAGTCGGCAAACTCCTTGAGTCCCTGTCGAACCTCGTCGTCGGCCAGAATGTTGAAGAAACCGTACTTGACTGAGTTGTCGCGCAAAAGACCAACCATCTGGCGCGAGAAGCCGCATTGAGGCGAACTGGGAGTGCCCTTCATGAAGAGCATCACAGGCGCGGCCTTGACAAGGTCGCCAAGACGCTTAAAGAGCTCCTCCTTCTTCTTTTCGGGATCCTCCTCCTCGGCGGCGGCGTTGTTGTCGACGTCCGTGCCGTTGGTGGCATCAGCAGCCGCTGCGCCCTCTCCCGACTGCTTCGCCTGCGTCTCGATGGCAGTTCGGACCTTGACGGCGCTGCTGCCGCTAACAGTCTCTACGACCTGACCGTTCCTCAGCAGGACAAGGAATGGGACGGCGGTAACATCATAGGTTTCGCTGAGGTCGCTCAACTCCTCGGCATTGATAGACACCCACTTTGTGGCAGGAGGCTCGGTGACGGGATATTCGGAGGCGAGTGTCGACAGGACGGTGGCCATCTGGGCGCAGGGCGCGGCCCAAGGAGCGTGGAACGAGACGATAACCAGAGTAGTAGAGGGGACAGAGGCGAGCAGCTGCTCCCACTGAGGGATACTGGTGACTTCGGTGATTGTGGACATGGCGGCGGTTGAGGACTGTGGAATTAGATGGTGTATCAGGGTTTAGATCTGATAAGGAAAATTGGACGGAATGTGGTTGGAAGTTGGAGTTTTGGCGTCGATCCACGCCCGAGTCAAGCGACGTCAAAAGGGCAGGCAGGTTGTTAAGGCACTGTAGAATTTTGGCGGGGTACCGACTCGAGTGGCGCCGAGGGGCAATTCCTCACCCAGCAGAAGAGGTGCGAATTCTCATGCTGCACTTGCGTCATTTCGTTTGGCTGGCCGTGTTCCCCTGCGACCGACCGAGTGCCGGACCAGAGAACGGACTCGGCTAACCGCATGTCCCGCTTACTTCAATACCCCCTCAGCTCACCGCGTAGGTACCTGCCCTGTACTCGGCCAAGCCCCTCCACCAGCTGTCCAGCTGTTGGGCGCCAAAAAGGAACCTGGCAGATGGAGCTACCTACATCATCAGCCACACGCTGCACTCCACGAGTTGGCAGTAACCCACTTCTCTCTGAGTGACTGTACTCTCTCCCACCGAGTTCCAGTTCCAGTGCCAGATCCAGCTTCGAAACTCTGTCCCGACTCCTGGCATACCTTCAGCGATTCCCCCACCGCTGTACGACTCCAGGTGTCTCGGGGCTCTCTTCTTTAAAGCTTCATCCTCCATCTCCGGCTGCTCCGTGTCCGGAATTCCACCGCCTCTTTCCCGCCCGCTTTGTCCAGCTCTCGCCGTGTGGAGTTGTTCGCCGCAGCAACGGTGTCAACGTCACCCCCAACCCCCGTCGTCCAAACTCGTCCCTCCGTCAGCTCGTGGCTTCAACCTTCTCTCATCACCTAACCCTCAAGTCTCACAACCATGGCTTCCTTGAACCTCTCGATAAATGGCCCGTCCATAAAGAGCAGCTACAATGGCGTCGTCAACGGACCCCCGCCTTCATCCGATTCTCCCACCTATGCTCACTGGGCCCTGTTCTCCGTCCAAGCCCCTCTCCTGAATGCCTTCCAGGACAGCGGCGCCAAGGAGAGCATTCTCAAGGTCCAAAGCACCGGCGGTACGGCACACTTCACAGACACCTCCCCGAGCGCCCATTCGCTAACACAGCTACAGACGGTGAGCTCGCTGACCTGATTGAGGACTTCAGCGAGGGTCGCATCCAGTTCGCATTCGCCAAGGTCAAGGACCCCAACAGCGGTCTACCCAAGAGCATCCTGATCGCTTGGTGTGGAGGAGGCGTCCCCGAACGAACCAAGGGCTACTTCACCAGCCACCTGGCCGCCGTCTCCAAGGTCCTCCACGGATACCACGTCCAGATCACAGCTCGCTCCGAGAGCGATCTCGAAATCGACTCAATCATGCAAAGGGTGGCCGATGCATCCGGTGCCAAGTACTCGGCAGGAAGCTCTGGTGCCCCTCGTGCCGCTGCTCCCCCGCCCGTCAAGTCGAAGCCCGTCTTCACCCCAACTACATCGAGCCGTGTCAACCCCCTCGTCGCTGCTCGGTCCAGGAAGGAGGAGAACGTCGATTCCGATGGCTGGGGTGCTGATGCCCCCCCTGTTACCAGGACTCAGCTTGAGAAGGTCGAGTCGGCTTATAAGCCCACCAAGGTCAACATGGCCCACCTCAGCCAGCAGCCTACAGCAACGACCAGCGGCGACGCCCCCGTGAAGAGGAATGAGGCTCCCGCCGATGTGGTCAAGGGCGGTTACCAACCGATTGGCAAGGTCGATATCGCCGCTATTCGTGCCCAGGCTCAAAAGAAGGAGGACGACCGCCCGACTCCTGTGAAGGGAGCCTATGAGCCCATTGGAAAGGTTGATATTGCCGCCATCCGAGCCAAGGCGCAAAAGCCTGCTGCTGGAGATGCAGAGGTCGAGAAAGAAGAGTCGCGGCCGGTCTCTGAGCGCATGTCTGCCTTTTCTCAGCCTGCCCAGTCTGAGCGTCTGACATCACTTCCCAAGCCCAAGGTCGCCAACAAGTTCGGAGGAGCCTCGAGCTTCTCGGGCACCAAGGCTCCCGCGCCTGGTGGTTTGGGCTACGGAGCACCCGCTGCCCCCAAGGCTGCCCCTGTTGGTGCTGCCAGCCGTACATTTGCGGACCAGGGAGGCAAGACCCCCGCTCAGCTTTGGGCTGAGCGAAAGGCCAAGGAGAAGGGAACTGATGTCGCCAGCGTAACCGCCGCAACCACCGGCACACCACCCGTCCAGCCTCAGAAGAGTGGAAGCGAGTGGAAGAGCGGCTACAGTGGAAAGAGCTGGGCCCCCGTCCAGACTGGGGACTACGGCCGTGGCATCCCTGGACAAGTGAGCCAGGACAACACTGGTGAGGATCAAGGCGAGAATGCGCCAGGATCTCCTTCAGGCGGTGTGTCTGCTCTGCGAGATCGATTCAAGGACACGGCTCCTATCAGCGCTGGCACTCCTCCTGTGCATCGTGCTGCAGAGGAGGAGGCCGCGCCGCCACCTATCCCTGATAACTCTCGACCATCTGGCGGCTTTGCCCTTCCAGGTCTGCCCAACCGACCTGCTCCTGCGGACGAGCAAGAAGACGAGCGAGAGGATCCTTCGGCGTATCAGACAGCTGCTGAGCGAGAACGATCTCCCTCGCCTCCTCGCATCGCTGTTCCTGTTAGCCGTGGACCAGTGCCTCCCGTCGGAACTCCTCCTGAGCAACGTGCGCCTCCACCTATCCCTCCTAGCCAGATCGATGTGCCCAAGGAGGAGGATCTAGCCAGTGACAGGGAGGTTTCTTCCACAGCCCGGATTGCTGGTGGTGTGGCAGGTGGCATTGCCGTTGGAGCTGTAGCCGGCGCCGGCGCTGTGGCTGCTGCGCACGCATTGGAGCGGGAGCCCTCACCAGAGCCCGAGCCTGAGCCTGAGCCTGAGCCCGTTCGTGCTCCCGCCCCTGCACAGCCCGCTGAGGAGGCTCAGGGCGGTTACCGTGCTGTGATCCAGTACGACTACGAGAAGGCCGAGGACAACGAGATCGATCTAGTTGAGGGAGAATATGTGATTAACATCGAGATGGTGGATGATGATTGGTGGATGGGTACCAACTCCCGAGGCGAGAGCGGTCTCTTCCCTAGCAATTATGTCGAGGTGGTCGAAGATGACGAGCCGGCTGCTGCCGCACCGCCTCCTCCCCCCGCCCCGGCGGCTGAGCCCGAGCCTGAGCCTCCGGCGCCTGCTGCCGCCGGACCCACGGCCACTGCACTGTATGATTATGAGGCCGCGGAAGATAACGGTATGTGGTCTCATTCTTCACTTTTGACATAAACTAACAATTTTAACAGAGCTGAGCTTCCCCGAGGATGCCACTATTACCAACCTGGAGTTCCCCGACGAGGACTGGTGGTTTGGACACTATGGTGGACAGACAGGTCTCTTCCCCGCCAACTACGTGCAACTTGACCAGTAAATTTTTGGTGTGGGCGGTATAGCAGTCATCAAACACAATGGGAGAACTATCAGGAGAGGGAAAAGCATGTAGTGATGACATGGTAAAAATAAGCAAGCAAATCAGTTCTCATGCGACAAGGCATTTCCAGAGCCGTTTTCCCATGGCAAGCTAAGATGCAGTGACGTGAGCCATGTGCGCAAAGTAACGGGCATGAAATGAACAATTGGTATTTAAATGAGCTTGCTTCCATAAGCTCTGCAGTGATGGATACGTTTCTCAGGATTGGCTCCTAGTTTCATTAACCAAGCAAGGATCGATTGCGTGTCGCGTCTTGCATGTCCCCCGTGGTTCTCTCCTCCCATCTCTTCCCCATCCAATCCACCATTGTCGCAAAAGGTATATACCAAGAAGCAAAGCGGGTATTCGTGACGGCATTTCCAAGACGAGTCGCGCGTGTTGTGTACGTTAAATGGAGTTATTGGCGTCGTATAATAACAAGTCCTTGGGCAATTGGTTTGACTTGTACTCGTGGGCAAATTGTGTTTAAAAGAGACAATCGCAACATTCAAAACTAAACAATAGCGACAAGGGTCAGCGAGGCCTATTCGTTGGGGCAATTGGTTGAGAGGCGCAGCCGCGGTCACTGCAAACCCATCGGGTACAACTCACCAGCATTCACAGCCTTCTTCACACACGCAGCAACAGCAGAGCGCCGCGAGACAGGCTGTCAAGCAATTGCCGCCGCCCTTCCCACCGCCTTGCTGCTGGGGAGGAGGTGCCTGTTGGTATTGCATGGGAGGCTGGCCCTGGGGAGGGCCGTACTGGCCTTGCGGGGGGCCGTAGGACTGCGAGAGAACAAGTCAGCGTGATGCGACTCGGTGGTTTGTGTTTGTCGTTCGGCCGCTTACGGGATTGGGCTGTTGAGGATAACCACCTCCGCCACCACCACCGCCGCCATAGTATTCTTGGGCAGACATGTTGATTGCGATTTACTGAGGATAGTTTAGATGAATGCGATGCGCCAGAGGGAGGAGCGAGATTGTTGCGACGCTGATGCGCAAAGAAGCGATAAGTACAAAGAGCACAAGAAGAAGGCGTAAGAAAAGAAGGTCAAGGGCGCGCAGCCGGATCTAAAAAGCTTCGAATCGAGGTCACGGGCAAAACCTCAGCTTGCGCAAAAGATGGAAGGGAAGGCATTGGCCACTCATCGAGCGGAGATAAATCCGGCCACACACGCAGACAGACCCTGGGAGAGGGAAGCTTCCCCCCCCGATGACGGGGCCTGGAGCTAGCATCGGCCAATCCGGAGCTGACGCTCTAGCGGGGCTGTGACCCATGATGGATAAGACGGCAGGAGGAGGGAGGAGATGCTGTGGCTTGGGTCTCAGTTGGCATGATGATGATGTTCCAGTCGATCCTACACACTGCACTCAGAACAAGAGCGCAGAAACAGATAACGGTTTTTCGCTATTATTACGAAAATTTACTTACTCTGCATGCACGCCGAGAACCCCCGAGTCAAGTCGATTGAAATATGCAGCCTACTTTGACTCTCACATTCCTAAATTTTGTCATGACGCCGCTGTTCCACATCCACAGCCACATTCGACCAGCTGGTCCAGTATAGAAAGCTTGGCTGGGCCATGACGAATCTCTTTTGCCTCTCTCGTCAGGCGCGTAACTTCAAGCAAAAGAGTAAAATCCAGAGAGTCTCGGGCTGACCGTGCCGTTCTTACCGAACAAGCCCACTAGACTACCCCAACCCATTTCCGTTAGCCGATCTTTCTCCCCAGAGCCGCCATTCGTCAGACACGTGGTGAAGCTTGGGGGAGATGCAAGGTTTGAGGTCAGCCAATGATTGGTTTATGGCAGAACGTCGTTGCACAAATGCTGCAAAGTGAATGACTTAAAAACACCGACACATGAGACTGACTTTTCGGTGTGCCATGCGCATAATTAAGTCTCCCAGGTAGACAATACATGTTTCAAGGAATTAACCTGGTGAGATTGGTACCCGGTCCTCATGCTTTCTATTGTATTCCGTGTTGGGTGATAACGGTGCTTTGTTGTCACGTGACTGCCATAAGCCTCAACACCAACCCAACCCTCCATCCAATAATAGGCACGAGAAGCAAGATGAACCAAGATCAGTATAATCCCGAAACCAGGAATTTGTACTCAAGATGGTCGCAATAACGGGTACGAACACTGGCAGCGCACTGCATTGTACCAACTTTGTACCAACTTTGGATGTATCTCTATACTTCTTACGTATTCATATTCAACCAAGAGTCAATCCGCTCAGCCTCTTCTCCCAAAGTCAGAGTCGCGGTAAAGTCGCAGTAGAATCGCAGTACCTGCACCAAGAGGCAAAGTAGCTCACTTGCGCTACGGGTCCAATTTGTGTCTTCATTCACCGGTAGAAGAACCTGGGCGTTCTGTCCTGCGCTCTCTTCTGGCGTTTTCTCCTCTGAACAGGCTTTCTCTGTTGAACGAGCACAACCCTCTGATTCATCCGACACAAACCGCGGAGCTTCTCGAGTGCCGAGTCTTGTTGGTATTTTATTTCGTCCCTCGCTCCCTCTCTACTTCTCTCCCTCTTACATTCACAGCCTGGTCTCTGAATCACAGACCCCCGTCACCTAATCACAATACTCCCTGCTTGCTTCCATTCACCTGCACTGACTTCCTTGGGCTTTCAGCGGTGGTTTTCTTCACAAACAGTCCCCCGCAAGGGGACCTGTTTATCGCTTCCCATCGCTTTCTTCTCCTGTGAGGATCGAGCATCTTCTCTTTCCCTCCTCCACTTCATCGCTTCTGCCAGCGAGCAGCCTCTTGCTCCATCGCCGCTTCCAAATCTGTTACACCTAGCAGGCTCCTCTTCTTCTATCCTATTTCGTTCCCACCATTCTTTGGTATTTCTACCATCCCAGATTTATTCTATTCTCTTCTTTCCGTTGTTAACATCGCTATTGATCGTCTCTCGCTCCTCATCGCTCCTTCACCAACCATGAGTGAGGACACTATCGAGGTCGTCAGCTCCCCTGCCGACACAATCATCATGAGCATGGAAGTCGACCGACAATCGTCGCACACCGTAGAAGCTACCAATGATGGCCTCTCGGATCCAGAGTGGGAGCGGAGGGATCCGCCATCTCCTATGCTGCATACTACTTGGACCTCGAACACAACTGCCATGGCCAAGTGCGACACCTGCGAGCGTGGCAGCCGAGGAACCCTCCAGCAGTGTCGCCGTTGTGCTGTCACCATTTGCCAAGAGTGTTTCGACGCCGGGAAACTGAGCCATGATCACCAACTCGATGCCGACAGTGTTGATTGGAACCAGCACAACAAGAGTAGCCGATCGTCAAAGAAGAGGGCCTCGAGAGCGAGACCTAGATTCGACAGTTCTTCGGCAACTGCCTCAGCAGGAACCTCAGCATCGCCACACTCTCAAGAGAGACAATTCGGGGGAGTTGTTCCTCCCGACACGGCGTCGCCATCCAACTCTGTACCCTCTACCCCCGAAAGACCTAGTATCGGAGAGATGTTTAATCGCACTCCCCGGTATGAGGTTGGTGGGACTGCCACCGTTAGGAATCACTATGGGAACAATGGATACGCCCCTATCGAGCCTCATCCTTCGTCTGACATCGAACAGGTATTGCTAGAGATACGCCCAGTCTTCGTGTGACATCTAACTAACCATTATCTAGGCAGAGTCAGGGAATTATTGGAATTCTACCTTTAGCCAACCACCGGGTCGACACCGAGAGTATCTTGATGGTTCTTCCAGTAGTAACGGCGCTACTCTCGCAAGCAGCGAGGTACTTGCAGTGGCACCTTGGCTTGTATTCAGGACCTATCCAACTAACAACGCTTCAGGACCCATCCTCGTGGAACCATACTTTCGGCCAACGTCGACAGGATCATCAGGGTTCTTCTGCCTACCGTCTCTCCGCTTCCGCAACTTTTGAGGTACTTGCTGAGATACTTTGGCTTGCATAAGGCGTTCTCAACTGACGTTATCCCAGGGCACAAGCCCGTGGAACATGATGTTCGGCCAGCCCCAAACTAGACGCCAGCATGATCAAATGCAGACTTCCCAGAATAGCGCCGCTTCCGCAAACAATGGCGAATGGCGTCAGGTACGTTGGCCTATCTTTTCTTCAAGTTACTCCTAGCTAACAATACAACAGTCATTTCAATCTTCCTCGGCATACAACATCAACCAACTAGCGTATCCTGGCCAGCAGGAGCCCGCGGCCAACCTTCTGATGCGGTCGCGCCAGGATTTGTCCAGCAGCTGGCAACCACATGACGCCCCATACCCATCTGCCGCGAGATCTAACATGTATTACTCGGATCTCTTCAACTATGGTCCTGTCCCTATAGCTGTGGCCCCAGCAGCGTTCCCACGGTCCCCTAGTCGGGTACAATCTACTCCAAGAGTCTTGCCTGAAAGGATCATGCCACGCTTTTTGTCCCTGGATCTGCGGTGCCACCCATCAGGACCTCCACGACGATACGAGGACTATTTTGATCTCCATTAAGTTGGAGCGGCATCATCTCAGGGCCAGGGCGCGGACTAGCTCGTCACGAACCATCTAGCCTATCGCCTGTCGTTGATTCATACACTCGAGGGGAGTGAGGACGATGGCCATGACACTGGCTCCTCGGTGCGATTTCCGTGAGTGCGTGAAACTAAGAATAAAAAAAAAGACAGAAATGTTTGGCTGAGTTGCCAATAACGAGTTTGGGGCAGGATACCTCAGACCAGGATACTCCAGGTCAAGGCAGCTGATTACCAGCATCATCACATGTATCCTATATCTCTCGTTGACTTTCCATATCTCTGTCTCTGATTGGGTCTTCCAGGAGTCAACTTTAACTCTCACTCTAATAGACTCATTTCAACCAACTCACATGCTACATCAGCAAATGTCATCACGTAAAAAGTAAAATCACGTATTCTTTTGATACCGCGCTGCAACTGCAGCCCAAAAAAAGAAAACCATATACAGGACATAATGGAGATGGCATCCGCTGCTTCAAATCATTAAGAGCATGGGGACTAGCTGCAATCTCATTTCCCTTTTCGTTCCCAGTTCCATCCCGACCATGATCATCATCATTGTCATGAAGCAATAACCCACAAAACCCAACTCCACGGTTTCACTTTCTCTGTCTCTCTTACTCGTCGTCGCCCTGAGGCACCTCCACCTCTTCCTCGTCGTCCTCGTCGAAGCTGCCGGCAGGAACCTCGTACAAGCGGAGGATGGACTTGTTGGGGTCCTTGACCAGGACGAACTTGGCCTCCTGGTCGGAGCTGCTGAGGCACATGTCGACAATGGTGCGCACGATACCCCAACCGTTGTTGAGGGACAGGTTCATCTGGTTGGCAAAGTCGCGGGGCTTCCAGCCGACAACGCCCAGGACGACGTGCTTGTCGTTGGAGCGGGGGTTCAGGCGAGAAACGAAACTGTCATTAATGTCAGTAAAGAGTGATTCAAGAAGAGACTAGTAAAACATACCCAAGCTTCATAAAGTCGGCCTTGGCCAGGATGCTCTGCACCGTCCATCGGGCGAGCTTGCAGCTGTTGTTCTTCATCTCGGTTGCCACGACGGCACCGCGCTGGGTCACGAGCTTGCTGCGCCAGTCGAGGGCGCCGCCGCTGCCCTGAGCCTTGCTGTCGAACTCGTTGAGGGCGTGGATGCTGACGAGCTGGTCGTCGCCGCTGATAGCGTTCTTCTGCACCGCGTCCACCTCGGTTCGGACAATCAGGTGAACAGGCTCCTCCTCGTTGGTCGACAGGTCGAACCGCCTGTACTTGTAGGCCTTGCTGGCCGGGGGGTCGGTGTCCTCGGACGAGTTGTAGAAGGGGTTGGCGTGGGCCATGGTGGCCTTGGCCGACTCGCTCTCGTTGACGACCTGGTTGGCAAAGTTGTGGTTGATGTAGGTGGCCTCCTCGGCGAGGGCGTTGGGCTGGTTGATGGTGTCCTTGCTGCCGTCGGCGGCATCCAGGGGAGCGTCGATGGCGTTCTCATTAACCGTCACCATATCAAGAGCGGCATTATCGCGCTTGTCCAGGAAGACCTTGTTGCCGTGTCGAGAAATGACGATATCCCAGGGGTACACGGAGCGTGTCGCGCACATGAGCATGGAGAGGATGCTGTCGGTGGCAAAGATGGTGGCCTCATCCTTGTCGGCGAGCTCCTGGATGACGGGATCGGAAGAGGTGGTGACGTTGTAGGCGGCTCGGTCGATGGGGGTGAGCTTCCTCTCGGTGCCCTTGACGGGCGGCTTGTCGTAGGAGCGGTCGTAGTAGTAGAGGAAGCCGTAGTCGTCGATATCCTCGCCGTCGTCGGTGTCGAGGTTCAGCTTGGCCAGACGGTTAAAGTCAATCTCCTCAAGCAGCTTCCACTCGGCCTTGACGTTGATACTGGCATCACGGTTGCGAGCAGGCTTGTCATAGTCCTTCCAGCCGAAGCGACGACCACGAGCGCCAGTGTTGGACCGGCCGCCCCGGTCGTAACCTCCGTAGCCCTGTCGACCACCGGCGCCGGTCCTCTGGAACTGGGTCCGTCCGCCTCGGGCACCGCCGGCCTGGCCTTGGCCACGGCCACGGCCACGGGTGAAGACGGCACCGCGGCCATATCTTGTCTTCGTCGAGTCTCGGACGTTGCTGACGACGGAGAAGGTGGATTCGTCCTCGGCGGGAGGAGCATTGAAGGTGACGGCGTGGCTAGAGCCGTAAACTTGCTGATCTGTATGACACATAAGCCATGATTCCATCCAAGACTGAGAAGAACAGCCTACCTCTAAAGTTCCTGTTGTACTGTGCTCGTCCACCACGCTCACGGTCCTTGCCCTCGGCAGTCCAGTCAGCCATGCGGCCCAGCTTGTCACCCTTGGAGAAGGGCGCATAGGGCACGCCGTTGAGGGTGGTCTCGGTGGTGACCGAGGGACCCCATCCGTCGCCGGCGGGGCAGCTTTCGCAGATCTTGACGTAGTCGAGAGAGTCGCCCATCTTGAAAGATTTATCTTTGATGGAGGTCGAGGTCGAGAACGGAGGGAGGGTGGGGGAGGGAGTTCGAGGCGATGCTTGAATTTGGACTTTGACGATGAATTTGTGGTGGGGTGGAGGGCCTTCAGTGTGGGGCACAAAAAAAATATCACAAGCCCCGCGTTGTGTGCGCTTCAGCCACGTCAAGCCACAATTGGCTTTGAGAATAGCATCAGAAGAGTTGAGTATATATATCTTTAAACACCAATCTTCTACATCTCCTCCCATCCTCAGACAAATTAACATGGTATAACCGCACCTAAGCACCGCCGTAAATCACATCAAGAGCATAACTAGATTATCCAACACATCTATCCACACATCACCGTGTCCTTACCTCCGAGCACACTATCCATAGCATCTCGCACCTCAAACTCCTCCATCACGGCTCCGAAGCTATATCATCGGGTCAGCATCTTCCAAAGAGTCACCACACTACAATCGACTTACCCGTAGCATCTAACCTTTCGGACAAGCTCCTCTCCGAGCTTCCGAAAGTCCTCCGCCTCAAGCTCCATCACCTTGGGGTGGGACATGACCATAACCCACGCCATGATGGGAGTCACTTCGCCATCCAGATCCAAGCTCTTGCTAAGATTTAGCAGGGTTGCAAGGTCGGCCCTCGGCACCTCCCATGTCTTTTGGTTCAAATCACTGCCCAATGGGACATGAGTTTTCCCAAACGGACAGCCAAGCATCGAGTCTGGGGACGGGCCGGGAGGGCACGATGCCATAAGTGCATGGCCGCATGGTTCTCCGTCATGCTCAGCGGATCTCTCGACCATGTACTGGATATGTGTCATGCAAGGTCTCTCGAGGCTACAAACTGTTAGCCAACTGGTCTTGTATCGTGACTTGCCAAAGTACACGAAACTCGCATGGGCTCATACGGGAGTATCATTGGGAAGTCTTCGAAGAGGACTTATCGTACGTTAAAACGAAATCAATGCCTGCCTGCTCCATATCAGCACCTCCCCGATTCAGGGTTTGATGCGTGTCATGCTGTTGCTGGCCAGGCGTATAGCCTTGGTTGACAGCCGAAGGCAGCTGGATCGGTGAAGAAACCGATGGCGCAGTTGACCGAGAGGTCAGGGGAGTAGACGAACCAGGGCCTTGGCTGGTAGAGCTCCCTGCAGCGTATGGGCTGCCATAGTGAAGTCCAGCTTGAGTCAAGAGGTCCCGCAGACGCTTATTCTCGTCGGCTAGTCTCTCTCGGTCCAGAGACACGTTGCTAAAGACCTCTTTGAGTCTGAGCACTTCATCTTCTAGTGCTTTGATGTAGAGCTCTTTTCTCTCTCGGTGAGTCCTAGAAGGTGAGATACAAAGTCAGGTGTGAGTTCTACACTGAGCTCGGTCTACATACCGCTGAGCCTGCCTGTTTAGTTCTTGGCGTCTTGTGAGAGCAGGTTTACTATTCGGTTTAGGTCCACGCTTCTTGGGCGGGTTCCCCTCTGAGACGGCGTGCTATTAGACTCGGGAAGGATCACGTCAGATGAAATCACTCAGATGCTTACCACGCGTTGTCCTCTTGTCGGCAAGGTTCTTGTAAAACTCTGGATCCAGAGTAGAGCCCCCAGTCCTGTCATCCTCTGAGCTGGGGGCCGCTCGCTCCGGTGACAAGGATGAGGAGAGGTCGCGCTCCGTTACTCCAAGATGGGAGTTGAAGGTCGCCATGCTTGGTCACGTCTGAGTGATGAGACTCGTAATCCTTTGAGATGGCTGAGGAATTGGTCAGTTTTGAAGAGCTGGTGAAGCCAGCGGCTGACGAAAGAGTCGTGGCTTGGTCATCGATGGTCAGAGCAGAGCCGGAGATACTGACTGTGTCTGTCGTCACTGGTGACTAATTCCAATTCCCGAAATGCGATATGCCCCGAGGGCACAGCCCGGTGCGGAGGAAGCTAAGAAGACAACCCTAAAGTATGTGCTGCAGGAGTTGACAGATGCAAGGTACTGGAAGCGCTGGTTCAATGGTATATGGCTGGGTTGATGCAATGATTTGAGAAATATGCTGGTTGCTCGGGAGAGCCGATGATTGTGTCGGACAAGGTTCTAGAACCTCAGGCAGACGCTTGGGAATGGAAGGCCATCGATGGCTTAGTAAGGTCTAGTCTGATTCGCCAAGGAGGAGCTTCCACTCAAGGTAAGCCGGAGTTGGCTGAGATGGGCGTGCCTGAGGCGTTGATGACGGCGCGCAACCGGGCAGCCAAATGTGCTTATCGACAGGATAAAGGGAGACGGTATCACAAAGGTCAGAGCCTTCACAGGCAGTCTACAATAAGATTGTTCAAGTTGTAAGGGTTGAGCGAGTTCTGTGGCTCGTCTCAGATGATCAATGCAAATCCCCGCATTCTCCGCCCTTCAACTCCGACAGGCCCAACTTGTAGGTACATACGGTACTTTTCTATCACGCCTAAACCTAATGCGGAAAACAGACATTGGCATCCACCCTCACAGAAACTAATCATGGGTTTCACCGAAGAATCACTGGGCGTCGAAAGAAATGCATCGGGTTCAAAGAAACAGGGTTCCAAAAAGCCATACCTGAGTACAAGCCCCGTTGCCGAATTCCTGGGTGATAGGGTAGGGCCTCGCTCGCCTCCCGGGTATTTATGGAGCCGCTGCGCCAGGGGGGCTTCAGGAACGTGTTGTGACGTTGCCGCCTCGACCTGGGCTGGCAAGATAAGACAGTCAAACTGCTGTGCAAGACACAGATGAGACAGGTCTGAGGCTGTATCGCGTGTTGAGTTGACATGTGCCTGTCAGTGTCAATGTCAATGTCAATCAGAGAGACGTCTCGTCTCGCCCTTCAGCTGAGGCCATCAACCGGCCAATGATACACTCTGCGAGACGGCTTCTTCGGGAATGAATGTCGTCATCCATTTGCACTTGCAAGACAAGTAGAACCTCTAAAAGACTGAGGCGCCGTCGAGTCACTACGTAGTTACAATCAATGATTCTTCCCACGACGATGTGTGGATAGAAGGCTCCGGCTGGATTGCTGTAATGGCCCAAAGCAGCAGCACCTTACGCAACCACCTGCGAGGCATCGTCCTGACAGCCCCATGGGTTGTGTATCTCTTCTTGGCTGATGCCGTTTTGTCACTTTTGCTCCCGCTGAAACTCTTCTCGCCTCGACTCGTCTACGACGCCTCGTCCCAGGTTGCCCGGTCTGTATGGGCGTGGATACAGCTCATATTCACACGCGCCAACAGAGCGCACATTTCAATCTCTGGTGATGCCCTACCTCACGGAGAGTCAGCTATTGTCGTGTCCAACCATGTCGCCTGGTCCGACTTCTATCTTATCCAGGCCCTGGCCATGAAGGCAGGCATGCTTGGCCGGTGTCGCTACTTTGCCAAGGCTCAGCTGCGCTTTGTTCCCTTTCTTGGATGGGGCCTCTGGGCCATGGGTATGCCGCTGGTGAGCCGCAACTGGCTCCGAGACAAGAACGAGCTTGATCACGTCTTTTCCGACATGGTCCAGAAGGCCTTTCCGACATGTAAGCCCATCGAATCGAGAATCGGCTTGTCGATCGTCGTAGATGAAACTAACTCCATAACCCAGGGCTGATCAGTTTCAGTGAGGGCACCCGCTTCACTCCGGCCAAGTACCAAGAGTCGATCGACTTTTGCAGGCTGGCAAATCGGCGGCAGCCCAGGAATCTGCTCTACCCACGCACCAAGGGCTTCATTGCTACGGTCCAGCACCTCCGACAGGCGCCACACGTCAAGGCTGTCTACGACTTGACCATTGCTTATCAGCATCAAGGGACCTTTCAGAGAGCGCCCTCCATGTGGGAGACGTTGAGCACACCAGGACTCAGCGAACGGGGTGGGTACAAGTTCCACGTGCATGTTCGACGTTTCCCCATTGAGGCGCTGCCGGCAAAGGACGAGGAGCTGGCTGCATGGCTTGAGGAGTTGTGGACGGAGAAGGGAATGATTCTCGAGGCCCAGGAGGAGCAATGGCTGAACCGGTAAATCAATACGAACAACATGAACAATATCATCACCTCAATCGTCTGTTGTCATGCCACATGCAAGCAATAGCTTGTTTCCAAACACCAGAGCACAGTGTACGTGATCTGGAATGACATGGATCATGACTTGGCTACCCGGGAGACGGACAGAGCGGTTCTCTCTTTTGTCATCATTGCTGCATGAATGTCTTGAGCGGATGGTGGGAGGGAATGGAATGGCTGACCGCAAAGAGGCGTCGATTCGCTACAGGGTGCAGACGGGCGTCATTGGGGGCGCCATAAGAGACGGGCGTTATAGTCGGAAGTGGCCAGAGCTGCAGGGCATGTGACGGAGGTAATCCCTTCAGAAAGCCGGTGATGAGGCGCATTGTTTGGAGACGACCGGCAGTTGATGTGGATGGATGCATGGAAATCAAGGTGGGCAAGGTACAGCAGACCAAAGGCAATGCAAGGCAAGGGATTCTCTCTGCTACCCTGCAACCCTGGAGACGGGCCCCAACCCAAGGTCCCGAGGCCGGCCTGGGATAGATGAGAGATGGTGGAGAGTGGTGCAATGTTGGTGATGGTTGCGCATCTGGGCTGGTCAGGGGGACAGGCGACAGGCGGGAGGGCTAGACAAGTGCGCGCCTGAGTAAGCAAAGCCAGTCAAGAAACAGTCAAAGTCTGGGGGCGGGAGGGGAAACAGCACCAAGATCAGCTCATTGCTGCAGTAAACCCATCACTCTGATCCGAGCGTATAGTCCAGATCGGGAGTCTGAGCAGCTGGTGACCACCAGAGGGGAGAAGCACGACCAAAGGCAAGACGGCGGTGAGTCTGGAGGAGGAATAACAGCGTGACTCACGAAGCCATCCATGTCCGTGATCTCAAGAGGTACTATGTAGGTACCCAATAACAAGACAGGTCAGGACAACCAGTCGTTCGACCGGGAACGGGGACGGAGACGGAGACGGCATAAACAACTTATGCAGCAACCACTTGGAGGAGGAGGGGGAGGGGGGAAACAAAACAATACCCATGGTTGCGTTGCGTTGTATCGACCGGCACCTGGAACCTGGCACATCCATTGCATTCATTGCACCACCACGCGAAGATGGAAGGGAGGGAGGCAGCAAGAACCCGCGGAGGCCAAAAGCAAAACAAGCAACGAGGCAAGCAACACCAGACATGGAGGGGGAATCAATGCGAGGGGGCAATGGATGGGAAAATGCATGAGAGAAGAGGGCCCTGATGAGCGGGTTCAATGTCTTGTTCCAATTGGTAGCTCAAGGTTGACGTCGTTATGGCATGAAGAACTCATTTGAAACTCGCCAGCATTAGAGCATTAGAGCATCACAGAATCTCCATTACCTACCTCCAGCACACCCAAAAGCCACCGGCAGCGAGCTAGGGATAAATCAAATGCGGCTTGACGATAGCTGCCTGTCTCGCCATGCCCGGGCCGTCTCCGCGAGACGCCCGCTCGTCGGCCGGTGGCTCAACCCATGGCCCCAAGTTCGGGGCAACGGTCATTGGAGGCGGTCGGCGACGGATGGTAAACTTGGGGGTTGAGGATTGCTGTAGCTCGAGCGCCGGGGGTTATCTACCTACCCAGACCCAGCGGTAGGAGCAGCCCCAAGGTACAAGCACCAAGTAGGGTGAGACTGTTGCAGTATTGGTGCCATTGGGTCGTCGATTGGTGGGGAAGAGTGCAGATGCGGCCACAGAAGGCGGAGGGGGAGAAACCAGAAGGGATCATCAGTTTTTTGCACTCCCTCGTGTTTCCGTCCTGCAGCCCCGACGAGGCACCTGATGGCAAAACCTTTTCCTGTCAGGTCCTTTGACGGAGCAGATCGTGGCTGCGCTTCCTTCCCGTGGTGTATGTACTGTACTGTATGCTGTAGCACATTGCACATGAGATGGTTCCATCCACGGGTTAGGGAGTCTAGGCGTTGACCATTTGGGCATGGAATCTCGATCGTCACGGACAAAGGAGTCCTTTTACAGTGCGTGAGGCACGTGGGGTGTGAAGCAATGTCTCGTTCTTCTGCGCTGTCCTTTCTCCTCTGATGGAACCTCTCATGCGTTGGATGATAGAATCATGAAGAATATTCAGGGTTGCGAGCAAAGCGTTGAAGTTAATAACAGAAAATACAAAAACAAACATGAAATGGCAAGGGGGAGGGGGTTGGGTAAACATCGGGGTCCTGTCTGTCGTGTCCTGGGCCCATTCTCTTGTTGTCTGAAACGTTGACACAATGGAGAAACACTGCCGCAGAAACCAGCGTTGGCGAAAATAGCGACCGAAAAAAAAATAAAAAATAAAAAATTCTCAACTGGCTGGGCGCAGTGCAGCAGTGCTAACGGATCCATGGCCTGGAACGATAAGTGACAAAGCACGCATCTTACCTTACACAGCCTGGGCAAGCGCTGCAACAAGGTGCCCGCAACACTGCAGCTCAGCACAACTAGGAGCTAGCCCCCCGGTGGTGGTGGCGGGTGATTGGCTTCTGCGCCTTCCTTCCCCGCTTATTGTATCATGAGGGAAGGAACGCGAGCATCGTGAGGCGCCTTGGTCTGAACTTTGTCTCTCTCCCCCTTCGAAGGCTTTAACGGCGACTTTGACCCAGGCTCAAGAGCGTCTCGGACAAACAAATACTCGAACCGACTCGTGCGGATTACACCATAGTCGACAAGTCCATCCCGAACGATCCCCATCACCGTCTCGTCGAGTAACGAGGCCAATTCGTCCTGCCTGTGCCCGAGCAAGGTACCCACGTCGTCCGCTTGGTCGTCGCTCGTTCTCGGGTCCCCATTCTACGCACACCAAGACTCTCCTCGGCTCCAGACGCTTCAAAAGACTGCCACCAGCGAGCTCGATCGATTTTTCCAACGGCCCAGGCCAAAAGCCTTTCCACAGCGTCAGCCCGAGTTCCTCCTCGCTGCCGGCCCTCAGTCATGTCTTCGAGTCTCGCGGGTCTGTAGTTCTGGCGCCCTTGCCAGACCCCGAGTCTCTCCCCACTTGTGCTTCTTGCTGGCTCACCAGCTGCCCTCACGCCGGGCACCCGGCCGAACATCCCACGGCCGACGACAACCACGAAACGCCCAATACTGCCTCCTCCGACGAATCGAGCAGTTACCATCTTTGAGACGCCATGGACTCTCCATCGGGCGCCTCGTTGGCGCCCCCGGCTGTCACCTCTCTGAGGGTTCAACAAACCACTGCCATGGAGAGATCTTTGAGCCAGGACATCCGGGAAGAACGCGAGGAGCTCCGTGAAGCCGCCGAGCAGACCCTAAACACCATCGTTGACCTCAATCTCGATGGCACCATCAAATGGGTCAGCCCGTCATGGACCGACGTTGTGGGGACACAATTCGAGACCGTCAACGGTCTCCCCATCTCCGACTTGATAGTCAGCGACAACAAAAACGTCTTCACCGAGGTTGTCGAGTCTATGAAGAAGGATGACTCTCGAAGCCACCGAGTCCGTTTTGCCGTTCAGCTTGGACCCCTCTCCAAGTTGCTTACAATCGACGACCTCCAAGATGACACCGAGAACCAGCAACCACAAACTGTCGACCTTGAAGCCCAGGGAATCATGGTCTATGACAGTGTTTCGGGTGGTGAGAGCCACGTAAGACGGACTCGGCCCTATACTACCTATCATGCATACTAACAATCCCTTACAGACTATGTGGATGCTGCGTCCTTGGATCGCTCCTCGAGAGATCAAGATTGACCTTCCCAATGTCATTGTTAACTCGTTAGGCTCTGGGGCTGAGGTTTTGGCAAGCTATCTGACTCAGCTTGCTGAGAGTGGCCTTGATGAGCCTGAGCAACAAGACCCCCCACCCCCGGTCCTCTGCCGCATTTGCGAGCGTCAGATTCCCCGTTGGTGGTTTGAGAAGCATACCGATCTCTGTCTACAGGAGCATCGAGCTGAGATGGATGTACAGATGGCCCAGGAGAATTTGACTGAGCATCGGCACTCTATCGTTAAAGTCCTCGACGCCTTGGAGGCTCGCAAGAGTCGATCATTGGCTGGCGACCAATCCTCGCTCCCCATTGCCGAGTACAAGGGCCTGCCTATTGGGCCACCGCCTTCAACACAATCGTCACCTGGCAGCTCCTTGCCTCGATCAAGGGAGCGTTCTGGTGGACTCGGGCATACTAGGGCACGCTCGTTCGCCGTCCGCCGACCCCAGGCCCGAATTGTCGAGCTCCTCATGGATCTCTGCGATACTGCCATTGAAATCAGCACTCCTGCCATCAAGGAGTCTTCGACACAGCACAACAACGGCGAGTTCCGAACCCAGTCGCCGCAATCGGAATCACGAATATCACAGGTTCTACAGTGGCAATCCCCAAGCACAAACACGTTGGAGCAGGAGCAGGGCCTGGCTCTTCTGTGTGCTGATACGGAAAAGGTCGCTCGAAACAAGGTCGATGCCGTCTTTCGTCACAGGAAGATTATCGAATATGCCGAGCGTATTCGAATCGAGCTGGCGTGTCTCGTCCAGGACTGCATTGACGAAGCACTGAGGAAGGCAGCTCGTATTGCCGCTGGTGACCTGACAGATTCCACAGAGGAGGGAGAAGAACTGAGCCCAGAAGAGTACGACCAATGCGAAGTGTGTGATGAAGACGTCGTTGAGAACGACGAGGAGATTTTACCCGAGACTCTACCCCCTCAGTCTAATCCTCCCCAGTCTGTTGCGTCCGAGCCTCGCGAGAATGAGAACTTCGCCGAGCCGTTGAATAGCCCGTCTGCACTGGCTACAGCCCTCCGTCAGATGGATATATCCGACAGGAAGAATCGTTCACGGCCGACTTCGTTCATTGCGTCTACCAGATCCAGCAGCCCCAAGGAGTGCCCTACCCCAAGGTCCCATCTCGGTGGCTTAAGCAACCTAGGGGCTCAGGCGCGAGACACGCGCAGAGACTCTCTTTACTTAGAAGGCGAACTTGTCGATAGCGAAGGGAGTTTCCGATCGTCATCGGTTGCATCTCGTAACGCCCCCAGGACCGAGTCTCCTATCTCCGAGTTTGGGGACCTTAGGCGTGCTGCAAGCACACGGAGACGTCACCGGAGAAGTCTCATTCTACCTGGCACTTCGTCTCCTCACCGCCAGGAATCCCCTTCCAGACCAGCTCAACCATCTTCCCCCTTGCGGATCAAGGCCCGGGGATTCCCCGGGTCTCAAGAAGGAATGGTATCCCCAGAGGCTTCACCCATGCTTCCTGGAAGCGATTTCAGTTCCCCTGCCACGCACCCTCATAGACATCACAGAAGACAGTCTTCAGCAGCCATATCCGACTTTGTCATGAAACCACCACCTTCACCCCGTTTGGGCGCCGGTGCTCCTCCCCAGCCTCGTCCAACGCAGCCCTCGATCAAGGACTTTGAGATTATCAAGCCCATCAGCAAGGGCGCTTTCGGCAGCGTCTACCTTTCCAAGAAGAAGTCTACAGGGGAGTACTTTGCAATCAAGGTTCTCAAGAAGGCCGACATGGTTGCCAAGAACCAGGTCGGCAACGTCAAAGCCGAACGTGCCATCATGATGTGGCAAGGAGAGAGCGAATTTGTTGCCAAGCTCTACTGGACATTCTCAAGCAAGGACTATCTCTATCTTGTGATGGAATATCTGAACGGCGGCGACTGCGCCTCGCTCATCAAAGTTCTTGGCGGGCTCCCCGAGGAATGGGTGAAGAAATATCTTGGTGAGGTGGTCTTGGGTGTCGAGCACCTCCATAGTCGCGGCATTATTCATCGTGACTTGAAGCCTGATAACCTCCTCATTGACCAGAAGGGCCACCTCAAGCTTACAGACTTTGGCCTTTCTCGTATGGGTTTGGTTGGCCGACAGAAGCGGGCGTTGAATAGTGAGAACTCGGACGGGACACCAGACTTGCTCAAGCAAGGACCATTCGCTCGATCTACGTCTATCGCATCCTCAAGATCTACTTCCCTTGACTTGCATGGGCCTGCTCATTCGCCCAGCGCAACACCCCAGATGACACCAGAGGTTGGCAGCTTGGGGCAGCCGTCCTATTTCAACCTCAGCCAGGAGCCGCGTCGAGTGTCGGGCACCCATCGAAGTGATAGTGGCGGTAGTGAGACACTCGCACACATGGTTGCCAACTTCTCCTTGAACGATGCCGAGACCGCCTCTCAGCCCAACAGTATTAAGTCACCACTGGATGAAGAAGTCATTGCCCAAGGATCACCGGATTTGCCACCGAGCGTAAATACGAGAATTAGCATGGACAGCCATACCAGGAATTCCCTCCCACCATCCAACATGATGCCCCCTCCAATGGCCTTGTTCAACCCCGAAGATACCAACCGACGCTTCGTGGGCACGCCAGACTACCTGGCCCCCGAAACCATCAAAGGTGACAAACAGGACGAAACTAGTGATTGGTGGTCTGTTGGTTGTATTCTCTTTGAGTTTCTTTACGGTTTCCCCCCCTTCCATGCTAGCGAGGCTGAGGAAGTCTTTGAGAACATCTTGGCGCGAAAGATTCAATGGCCGGACGAGGATGAGTGCGAGCTGGTGTCTGAGGAGGCCAAGGATCTCATCAACAAGCTGTTGTGTATGGAACCCCACCAACGGTTGGGCTCTAATCGCGAGGACAAATTTCAGTCTGGCGGCGAAGAAATCAGGAAGCATCCCTGGTTCGATGAAGTGAACTGGGACACGCTCCTTGAGGATGAGGCTCAGTTTGTGCCTCAGCCAGAGAATCCTGAGGATACGGAGTACTTTGATGCCAGAGGTGCGGTCCTGCAGTCTTTTGCGGAGGAGATGGAGGACCAGACATCCCCACCATCTTCAACTGCCGGCTCCGAGTATGCTGAGCGACCTCATGACGCATTGTCACGGGTTAGGTCGCAGGTCAACTCGATCAGTCGGAAGCTCATGCCGTTGCACATCCCTCCTCATGTACGTGACCTCAAGTCGAGGCGCCTGAGTGAACCAGTAGCGATGGACGACTTTGGATCATTTTCATTCAAGAATCTTCCTGTGCTAGAGAAGGCCAACAAGGATGTCATCCAAAAGCTGCGAGCCGAAGCTCTCGCCACGCAGAGCAAGCAAACCTCCGTTAGCCCCGGAGCTGCAAGCAGCGTGATATCTCCTTCACCTTCGCTCGAAGGCAGCCCCGTGATGTCGAACCCCATTTCGAGGACCATATCCAATGCCAAGGCGACAACCCGAGCCCAGTCGCCATCTGGCTTCACAAACGCCTCTCCAAGCAGGGCCTCTCAGCCATCATCCCCCTTGCTCGTCTCATTTGTGGCTGGACAAGGGACGGATGGGCGCAGAAAGGCGTCAAGCAACTCCTCAAGCCTCTCTCACCAATCGACAGCGGCATCTCTGCAGGCCGGCTCGGCATTTGAGATTCCCAAGGTGCCTCCGAGCTTGCAAAAGGCTGCCACCACGGTTGCAGCAACAACTTCGTCCCCTGCCAAGGGCCGTGGAACAGCGCCACCTCCACTATCTCTGTCGCCCCAGAAGTCCATGTCCATATCAACACCACGACAGTCGAGCAATTCATCGGCGGGACGATCGAGGTCACTTACAGTGGGCTCACAGTCCCAAGACGGCAGTCCTGTTGCGACAGATATTTTGCATCATCACCGCAACCGCAGAAGCCAGGTGTTTGACATGTCTCCATCTTCGTCAGACAATGAAGGCGAGAAGCACAACGCCCTGCTTAGGGTACAGCGACGCAGACAGAGCTCAAGGCGACTATCTCAGATTGCTTTTGACGCTGGACCTACCTTCCGGCCATTGGATGTCTTGATCTGCGAGGATCATCCAGTTTCACGCATGGTCATGGAGAAGCTACTGGAGAAGCTTCGATGCCGAACTATATCCGTACCAAACGGCTCTGAGGCAGTCCGTTACTCGATGAGCGAGATCAAGTTTGATGTGATCTTCCTCGAGTATCAGTTGCCACAGATCAACGGAGCCGACGTTGCACGGATGATCCGGGAGACAAAGAATGCCAACTCGCACACGCCAATCGTGGCCATCACGGCATATCTGAAGGAGCTTCAGGCGCCTCACTACTTTGACTCACTGATTGAGAAACCCATCAGCTCATCGAAGCTGACGGAAGTGCTTCGAGGGTTATGCCAATGGCGACCCGAATCCCCAGGACAAGGTTCATCTCTAGGCATGGTCCGACCGGTGCCCATGGGGATCAGGAAAGCCAATGCGCGCTTAGAGGACAGCCCAACGTCGGGCTCATCCATCTTCGCGGGACGCCTTGGGACAGCGATGATGTCGAGCCGTGAAGATTCGATCAGCTCGTCCCTGTTTGGCGACTCGGAATCAGTGACGACAGACGAAGTGCCAGTCGTTATCAGCCGCAAGGCAACGAACGAATGGGACGAAGGGGGCCTGAATATCACAACGGATGGCGACATGATTGAGGTATCGAGGAAAGCAATGCCTCAACTTCTAGCGCAGCAGTCAGCACCGGCACAAATGGAGCACCGACCACGAGCCAGCGATAAGCTTAAGGGAAAGAGGGACGGATCGGAGCAAAGAGTGCTAGATGGTACCGAGTCTGCCGATGATGAGGACGAGGAACTCGGGAGCGGAAGGGAGAAGTCGCTCGCACGCAACAGCCAGCAGATCCTGGGCAAGACAAACCTCCCCAGTTCTAAGCTGGGAATCGAGATGATGCGGGCGAATAGCCACGATAGCTTGACGATGGGATCAGAGAGCACTCCCGAGGCTGTAACACAAGTTGTGACGACACCATCCAAGGAGATGGAGATGGGACTACTCGACGGTGGAGTGCTTGCGCTAGAAGCGACAGCGCAGACACCACCTGAGGGGGGATCCAAGAAGGAAGGGGAGATAGACGGAAGCGACAAGGACGGGCCTGACAGCGTGGACGCTACACCCCGGCCGTTGACGACGATGCGGGTGGATGGCGACGGCGGTGAAGACGATGAGGCGACACCAAGGCCAGCCGGGAGATGACGATCTCTTCCCTTAGCAAGGTCGGGCAAGGCAAGGCGACGCAGCAGCTGTAACATGTTAGAAACGGGGCATGTTGCAGTATTTTGGCATGGAAGACGATGGATGTTTCTGTTGTTGTGCCTATTATTTCTTGAAATTTCCTTTGTATCTACGAAATGCAGCGTGGCGTTTGAGCGGAGACAACTGAGCCAAGTTGAAGAAGAGCTGAGCTGAGTGGACATGGAGGCTGTCTCATTTTCAGCGCACGAGATTGTGCGGGGAAGCGAGAGGAGGAGAGATGAGAAAGCAGGACAGGGGCATGGATGCAGGCGAACAGACTGAACTCGCACAAGACATTCAAAGAGTGAGTGATTGCATCTGGCGGTAAAGGAAAGGAAGGGCATTGGAGTTTCTTGACTTTAGTTGTCTCGTCATTGCTGGGGAGAGTTGAAGATGATGCATGTATGGGCAGAAACAAGACTTGGACAATCAAACTCACAAAACAAAAAAGGGACAAAAAAAAAGAAGAAAAAGGGCACGTCATTGGGACACAGATATGTTTCATCAAGAGTGATTGCAAGGAATATGGGAGTTGTCGTGGTAGGGGTTTGATGGGTCTTTTGATGGCGATGGTGGCTCAGAGTGACGAGGAGGGAGTCGGCGGATCAGCACAACATCAGGGTTTCCTTGACGGCGACCTTGTTCGTTGCTGTATCACTGTTGCCGCTCATTCACGTCTCGTTGGGTCGCCTCGCTCTGCCCAAGGTACATGCGATGGATTACATGTTGTGTTGTACTAGAGATTCCAAACAAGCAAGATACAAACCTCGATGCATGATCCCTACTTGGTGTCGTAACCTAAGTGAGCCTGATACAGAGGCACGACGCATGTTTGGCTGGCGTCGTGTAAGCATAAACTTGAGCCAATCTATCTCTAAATCTGGACATGGAGAAGAGTGTAGCCGGAAGGATCCGGTCGGGCGAGGCCGGTGAAGGGAGGGGGCGGGCGAGTCTGATGCTGACGAAACAAGGACATGTTGGAAGAGGTAGCACTGTATATGTGGGATGGATTATCAAACAAAACATGCCGAGAGAAATCGGCATGGATCTTCATGTTGGAGCGGACGTACGAGATCGGCCGAGAGAAAGAGAGAGAGAGAGAGAGAGAGGTCAGAGTAGAGACTAGCCAAGTTGGCCGTAGTAACAACCGGCAAGCCATGTATAACTAAGCCTAGACTTGGCGATAGACTAACAAGCTACTGTAGGTAGCGTAGCAAGCGAGCTCAAGAGCCGAGGGACGAAAAAAAATATCCACGCATCCAATGTCACTGTTGCTGCTGTGGCTGCGAGGCGTCTTGCTGTCGAACCGGGCCGGACTTCAAGGAGGTGGATGATGGTGACTAAATTGCAACTCAAACCCCGGGTGGAAAAAGAGGCCGGCAGCAGGACAAGCAATTGTGGAGAGAAAGATGCGGGCTTCATTCGTTAGATGAAGCATGCATGGTGTTATGGTTATTCCAAAGTAGCAGGGTCAGCCGCTGGGGCGGGGATGAAGAGGAGAGGAGAAGGGGGGGGGACCTTTTGATGGTCTCAAAGGTTGATTCGTGAGAGGGAGTGAGGGGATAAGCAAGCGAGAGTTGCGCTGGGGGATCCCATGAGTTGAAGTAGCAGCGGGGGGGAACCTTGAATGAATGGGCTGGTTGGCTGATATCCAAGGCCACAGAGTCATTACCCGCTCGGTGGTGGTGTGTGTATTATCTGACGTGAATTGCTGTGTGTTGCAACCAACAAAGAACAATTGACAGAAATGGACACCGAGCTCAAGCATGATCAAGCTGAATATTGTCCTCCATGCGAGTCAATTCCGCGCGTGTCGCATGGCGCGTCTTGCGTGAGTGAGTGCGAGGCTTGTGAGGCTTGCATCGGCGACGGGTACGTAATGGAGTTTGCAGGGTAGGAGTCTGTAGGCAGGCAAGCACTGCGGGATTACTTGTATTGTCGTGTCTAGATGACCTGTACGAGTGGGACACGGAGGTTGACCGTTGACGAAGGAGGGCATCGTGAGGCGGACTTGACGGCGAGGACAAGCTTTTCTACAACGGTTGCTTCAGGATGAGCCATGGTTCACATTAGGGCAAGATCTACTACGGAGCTGGATTTAGAGTAAACAATTTAGCACCAAGAATTGGGTTGCGTGTGTGTGAGAGACGAAGAAAAAAAAAAAAGGGTGGTGCCGTCGTTGCAGGGTCCTCGTGTCGTTGAGTCGAGGTCTCGGGCGAAGGAAAAAGTGTCACACGACAAGTTTCCGCTTTGGGCCAAATGTCGTTGCAGCACGTGCATGAGGGATCCACCAGGAAGAAGCCTTGCAGAGGGAACCCCCGTTTTTTTTCTCTTCAGCTAAAAATTCTTCCCCCTGGTCCAGCCAATGCAGTGCAAGCAAGAGAGAGGGGGGGGCGTTGCGGCTCCTAGAGGCGCCGAGACGGGAGATGGCGGTGGTCGACCTTGGCGTTCTGGGCAAGAAGCCGCCAGACAGTGACAAGAGACAGGCGAGTGACGTGAGAAATCGCGATCCCGAAGATCCGAGAAAATGGGGTGCATAAGGCCTCGATGCAAGAAACCATGGGCGTTCCTGTGCGTGTCCAATGTCCCGGTGTCTGGATTAGGACACCGAAGGTGGGAAAAAGGAAAAGAGAGGGAATATGGAAGGTTTATGTATGTATGGATGAAACAAAAACCAGAGGGAGACGGGCCGTGATGGTGTGTGAGCGTCTTGCCATTTCAATGCAGACACGGCATCCGAATGGTTACCTTCAGCAGTAAAGAGGGTCCTTCTGGTCTGTGGGCGACGGATCTCAATGCCATGATGTGTTTTTTCGAGCAATGATCTTCCAGGAAACGGAGTCGGCCGAATGGTTCCTGCGGGTCTTGACTGTCGAGATGTGCCGTCCTACCCGAGTCTCTCAGTCGCTTCGCAGTCGCGTGCCCAATTGCCCGGCCTGGACGCCAAGACTTCCAGCCTGTTAGCCATCCCCGTAGCCACACGTGCTAGTGGCTTAACAGCTCCGACGTCATTACTTGTACTTTTGCAGTGCAGTTCAGCCGTTCTTGCCTTTTGGTCGTCATGACTCCCGTCTCATAAAACTCTACGTACCTTGCGGCAACTGCCCGTGGTGGATGGATAATAACATTAGAATCTGACATGAAAAAAAGAAACACGGCATCTTCTTCCCGTCAAGGTTTCCATCATCCCGCTCCTCGGTCTATCTTTTTGGGACTCTCATCGCCCATCACGTCGCCGCTCATTGCCGTGCACCTGCTGCTTGTCAGGATCTAGCCTGGATCTCTCGGCGTTCGATGGAGGGAGGAGCGAGGGACCAGGGTGGGAAGGACCCATCCGCCAATCCCTTCCTGTCCATCAAATCACCTTCTCAACACCAACCATCCATCCCATCCCACTCTTCTGTCTCTCTTTTTTCTGTCACTCTCGTGCAGCAACCCACGTCCGTCCCTCCATCATCCCTGGCTCGTCTGTGTTTTTTTTTTCTCTTCCGCTCTCTTTTAGTCAGATCCACTTCTTTCTCCCGCCGTCCAAGCTTCAAACTCGGTCCCTGAAGGCGAGGCGGCGATGTTCGCGGCCACGCCCACGACCATGGAAACACGGGAATCTTCCCACACGCCCCCCCTTCCCTTCCACCCCCAAGCTTTCGACCCCAGAGATCGACTTTCGTCCACACGTTCTCCCACGAGGTTAATTTACGCATTCTTACTGGCTCACACTCTCTCGTCATGTTTGACCGACGTCTGGAGCATCTCCATGCTCCAGGCGCACTCGACGCCGCCCAAGGTTCTGCTTCAAATACTGCCCGTCCTCGCCCCAATTCACGACTTGTTCCTCGCTTCCTTCTCCAGAGCACAAGACATGACAACCAGAGGCATCGAGTCCTTGATTTGACCTTGATCAGCCGTGAATTGCTTCTTCCAATTCACCTCTCACACACTTCCTCTTTTGGTGTTTCCGTTTTCGGACTCCAACACCTCTCACTTATACATTCGTATATAAACAGCCACAACCCACCACCGCCAAGAGATCACTCTCATTGAGCTTCGCCAATCGCCTAAACACTCTGTTACGGGCACATCAAGCCTTTTACCAAAATGGTTCACCACCGCCACGAAGCCGCCACCATCCCTGGCGAGATTCCCGTGCCCCACGGTCCTCCAGACAGCGACGACCCGGACGAGCCCATTGCTTATGCTACCGCTGATGAGCGCCGCATCTTTAGCCATGTTACCCGTCCTGACGACTCCTACAATGAGGATGGTGTCTACTGGGCTGATCTGCCTCTGTCCCAGCGCATGAGCTTTGTCCACAAGATTGACACGCGAGCTGCCAGCGAGGAGGCCAAGTCCGCCTGGAGCATGTTCAAGGAGGATCCTCTCTCTCCCCTCTCTTGGTATTTCCGCCATGCAGTCATTCCTGGTGCTGGTCTCGGTCTCGAGGGTTACGTCCTCTTCTCCATTGGCAACCTTGAGCCTCTCTTCAAGGCTGCCTGGCCTCAGTGCTGGAACAAGGAAAAGGCCACCGAGTGCTCTCACAACTGGATTGCCAGTGTCACCTACCTCGAGATTATCGGTATCATGGTTGGCCAGGCTGTTGTTGGTGTAAGTCGTCTCAACTCACTCATATTTACACTTCCAATTGATATTAACTCTCTTATAGGTCATGGGTGATTGGGTCGGCCGACGCTGGGGTCTCATCCAGGATGCTGCCATCATGTTCATCGGTCTTCTCATGCTCACTGCCAGTTGGGGTCTCACCCTTCAGGGCTGGGTCATCTGCTACGCCTGGTCTCTCTTCTTCTACGGTTTCGGTGTCGGTGGCGAGTATCCCATCACTGCTACATCGTCCCTCGAGGGTGCCTCCACCGATGGCAAGCTCTCTACTCGCGAGGATCGTCTGCACCGTGGCCGCCGTGTCACCACTGCCTTCCTGATGCAGGGTTGGGGTCAGTTCGTCAACCAGGTCGTCCTCATTGTCCTCCTCGCCATCTTCAACAAGGGTCAGAGCTCGCCCCCTTACACCACCTCTGCTGCTCAGTACACCTTCCGTCTCTCCTTCGCCTTCCCCGCCATCGGCACTCTCTGGCTTCTCTACTACCGTACCTACCGCATGCCCAACGCCTCCAAGCAGCTCGCTGAGGCCAAGAAGCGATCCAACGTTACCGGCTACGACCTGAACGCCCTCCGATACTGCTTCACTCACTTCGGTGGCCGTCTCTTTGCCACTGCCGGCACTTGGTTCTGCAACGATGTCTTCTTCTACGGCAACAAGCTCTTCCAGTCTCAGTTCATCAACGTCATCTCTGGCTCCAACCACACCATCTTCACCACCTGGACTTGGAACCTGGTCAACATTACTGTCTCTATGTGCGGATACTACCTTGCCTCCCTCCTCATTGACAACAAGATGTACGGCCGCAAGAACATGCAGCAGGTTGGCTTCCTCATGTGCTTCCTCATGTTCGTCATCCCCGCCTTCAAGTACGACTACTACACGAGCCCTGCTGGTATCCACGGCTTCCAGGCCATGTACTTCATCTCGTCCTTCTTCAACCAGTTCGGCCCCAACTCGGTCACCTTCCTCGTCGCCGGTGAGGTCTTCCCCACTCCCATCCGTGCCACCGCCCACGGCTTCTCCGCCTGCATCGGCAAGTCTGGTGCCCTCCTCGCCTCGGTCCTTTACAACTACATCGATGATCAGACCAAGTTCTACGTCGTCCCCTGGTTCGGTCTCGCTGGTATGCTCCTCACCTGGCTCTTCCTCCCCGACACCACCGGCCTCGATCTCAAGGAGCAGGAGCGCCGCTGGCACTACATCATTGAGGGCAAGGAGAGCGAGTACCACGGTGTCGCCGTCAACCCCGCCCATCTGTCCCTCTGGGAGCGTATGCGTGGTCTTGCCAAGCCCTACGACCCCGAGGCCGACTGGCGTGCCAAGATTGCCGACATGCGCGCCGAGTGGGAGCTTGTTCAGGCCAGCCGTGGTCCCAAGGACACCGAGGGTGCTGAGATGCCCGACGATGGCGAGTTCTCCCCCGAGATCCACGAATTCTTCAAGCGTTCCGCCCCCAAGAACCTTGGCCGTCGCGACAACACTCTCATGGTTGACGACTCCATCAACGAGAAGACGGCTCTGCCTTCTGAGGACTCCAGTTCCAAGTAAACCGTCTCCTCCTCTTTTCTCTAGTGATACCATTCATTCTCCATCAAACATCAAATCTCACATATACATATACACATATTCGGGGTAGCGAGTGGTCTTTAGCATGGCATTGGCGTTGATTGCGGTTCATATTGTTTCCTGTTTTTCCTTTTCCTGCCCATAAAGGGCTTGGCATACAAGTTACTAGTACGTTGTAGGTGGTGTTAGAGTTGAAAAAGATACCACGAGTATAGATACTATGGTTGACGTCGAGTTAATACATCAACACTGAAATTATACATGTTGTCTCTTGCTTTGGTTCCAGTGATGCTCAAGTGATGTGCTCTGAGAGAGCCTTGATTCGTTCAACTCAAACACACTGAATGCCCAACTATGGATATGGATATACATATGTAAAAATAATCTTACAACTGAAGAAGAAAGAAGAAGTAAGTAATCAAGAGCGGCCGTTGTTGGCCAAAAAAGTTTCCATGGTATCTAGAATCCAAATCCCATTGTTTCGGTGCGCCAGGCACTTTGTCTTTATGATCCTCATGTGTGTGTGTGTGTGTGTGTGTGTGTGTGTGTGTGTGTGTGTATAAACAAATAAAACAAGAAAAAAGTAATAAAATCGTCGTCCACTCCGTTCACTGTCCCGTTTCCTCAGAAAGGGTAGGTGGCCAAATCCGTGGCCTCGATCCCAATGCCTCTCTATTCCTCAACGGGTTGCCTTTTTTAGTCTGTAACTTATTTTTCGTATATGATATTGTTATTGCTGTCGTGACTGCGGTCGACCCTGCTGACCTGATGTACTGGAAGATGGCACAATGACGCTCAAGACACAATCGTCGAGATGTTCGTAAAAGTCTTGTGCCGTTCCGAAGCCAATCTTGCAGATAGAACACCTCGCTTTCGTCCCGGCCGGATCCTCGCCGCTGGGTAACCGATGACCACTGCTGTGGCCCGTTTGGTCAACTTGATGGGCAGCAGTCAGATGTCGTTTGAAGACATCGGCGCGCGTAAAGACCTTTTCGAAGGGGCTTCCGACACCAGGGCAAAAGGGGCAGACCATCGAACCCCGGTAGTGGGTCAGGGCATGCCGATTCTTGTCGTACTTCCGCGCAAATCCCTTTGTATGGTATTCGCATGTCACGATAGGGCACTTCTCGGGTCGTTCCTCTTGATGCGTGAGCATGTGGGAGGCGAGATCACGAAACTCGCGCCCGCAGTCTGGATGAGGACACTTGGTCCTGTTTTCGGTAGGTCGTCGAGACGGGCTGGCTCGTTCGATCGGCATCGATGGTTCAACAGATGTCGAGACGCGTGGTCCTAAAACCGAGGCCGCCTGTAGCGGCGCTTCAGGGGCAAGTGATGCCCGTTGAGAGACAGAGTCTCTATAATCAATAGGAGTCTGAAACTCCTCCATGTCATCCTCCCCACTAGATATATGTTCCTCGGTAACGTCGACAGATTGTCGTACTTCGCGCATCCAGTCCTTCAAGACGCTCATGGATGGCCAATCACCACTAGCTTTACCAACTCGATGCGGTCGAAAGTGGGCACGACGAAGATGGGCTGCCGCGTTGTAGTATGCGCCGTAGCGCTTTTGTGCCAGACACGCTTTGCAACGTGACAGAGGAATGATCGGCTGCGGCGATGAAGGTATAGGGTTCTTGGGTTCCCTGCAAACCCATCGTTTGACCGTAGCCGAATGCTTGGCGTCCATGTGTCGTCGAAGCTCGTGATCACCTCGGAAACCGTCTGGATGTTCGTTACATTTGTCGCAGTAAACGCGCCGCAAAGATGTTCGACGAGAGGAGGATCTGAGCCTCGAAGGTGATATTGGCTCTCCAGATGGTCGTCGCGAATCGGTGGTTGGTGATATATCGTCCCCTACTGTATGTCTGCGTGCTCGCCCTGGCACTTCAACTGGCGGCACAAACTGCCCTGGAGGATGCAGCTCTGGTCTCGAACCAAGCGGTACGTAGTGTAGGCCCGAGCCTGAGGGACCTATAAACGGCGTCGAGGTTGGAAAGACTGGTCTGGACGGGGGCTCCAGTTGAGCCGGGGGTAAAAGACCAGATCCTGAAGGCCCTGAGTATCGTCTAGCTGGCATAACGAATCCGTTGAACCCATAGCTCGGAACGTCGCCGGTTCCAAGCCTGAGGAGGAAGTCGAAACTCGAGTACATGTGTTTTGATAGCCAGGCTTCGCGACGAACAACACGTGCTATGTGGTGGAAAAGTGGCTCTTCCAGCTTCGCGTTGGTCGATAATGCATCGCTCGAGTTCGAGAATAGGGATACTAGAACCTGGTAAACAGTTCGAGCAACTTGATCAGAGGGCTCTGCTGGTCTTTGATTGTTAACTTGAGAAGAGCGCGCAATATCAACCAAGATTCTCTCCACGGCGCTGAATATGCAAAGCGAGATGAAGACTCCAAGCCATTGTTTTAAGCCCATGGCTGCCGGGTTCGAGGTGGCAAAGTCAAACGAGACCAGAAAGCGTCGCGTGCATTCCCTGAGAAGCTGATTTCGTTCCGCAGAAGGACCACCTTCGATCGGAGGTCGGGGAGGAAGGTTGTCTCCCTGGATAGTTGGGTTCGGTTGGGATGCATCGTAGAACAGGACTTCTCGAAGTAACTGTTTTGCCCGAAAGAGTGCCGAATGCTTCACCTTTTCCTCCTCTCGCGTCGTAGAGAGTTGACCGCTGATCGCCAGGAGTTCGAGAAGATCGAAGGCAGCGCCGCGGAAACTTGAGCTGGATTCGATGAGGCGCAAAACGGGAGGCATGGATGCTGGATCATGGAGACTCGGTTGTAGGGCTCGAGTAGGACGTTCGTCCAGGTCCAACTCGCCATCCTGCCACCAAAACGTGTCCTGAAAGTCAATTCTCCAAGAAACAGGTCTTGGTGCCGTAACTAGAGTCGGATTCTGAGCCAAGATGAGGTCGTTGACGCTCCCTCGTCGTGGATCAGATGGTGTTATAGGCGTTTGAGGCTGCGTCCAAGCAAAAGATCCTGCAAGTGACCAGTTAAAAAAAGACAACTTTGGCCCTGTCAGAAACCCCATACCTTGCAATAGAACATCGGTCAGTGAGGTGACCGGCCCTCGGTAACAGCCCAGAACACGCCAATGTGCCTCTGATTCGGATGATGGCGCTCCCACGCACCGTGAGCAGGGGTGGTTCGCATCGCACTAGAGATGTCATGAGCTTGCAAAACTAGCAAAGTAGTCAAGGGAACCTACTTGGCTATTGGCAGCTCGGCATCGCAGACAAGGTTCGTTATTCCGTAAAAGGTTGAGTTCCCCAATCGACTGTAGGCGATGATGTCCAACACGAGCTCGTTTCAACGGAGGCAGTTGAGGGTCAGGAACGGACTCTCCGCCGGTTCGCGGTAATGTAGGTTTAGGATCCGGAAATGTGAAGCCCAGACCAGATTCTCTCCTTGTCGAAGCCGTAGAAGGGGTTGGGAAGGGAAGAGGAGGTAGGTTAGTCGTTACGAGAGTCGTCGGTGGTTGAATAGGCGGTAATCGGTCCCGCGTCAAGGGGACACTGCTGTTCTCTGGTCGTCGCTCGTTAGGCTGCAAAGAACTCCTAGGTTTTCTAAATAGTTCCGAGTCGCCTAGAGTTGTGTTGTTTGAGTGGATTCGAAGATGGTTGTCACGCTCTAGCTGAGTTGAGAAGCCGTAGACATAGTGTATGCACTGATCGTGCCAGCATTTAAACGGCGCTGGCATCAACCTGTCGAGGGCTGACGCAGAGCCTTGTGAAACCGAGGTGTGAGTTACTCGGTCATTGTGTGTAAAGTGATGTTCAAGCCATGAAGGGTATCCAGATGGCAAAGGGACTGGCGGTGAGTTTGTCAAGATACTAGCGACGTCCATGTCTAAGCTGTTAGTTTCGTCCGCACTAGGAACTAGACTCGAACGAGAGCTCGAGAACAAAAGTCCAGTTGCCAACTCACTTTGTTGTATGCAAGCGGCCTCGAGGCACTCGCAACGATACTGGAGCGCCCGCGCCTCTTCAGCTTCAGAGAGACAGGGAATGCGTGACGCGATGCCTACGCGGAGAAACCATGATTAGGATATGCGCCAAAGGATTTGCCGGAGCAGGAGAGGAGATGCCGAAGAAAAGCGCCAATGCTGACGGTAGGTAGGTAGACAAGTAGGCAGGTAGACAGCTAGGCACAGGGAGGCGGGACGAAACACACCGTGACGTTCGATAATAGTCTCGAGAGAGCGAAGTTTGTGCCGCAGCATGTCGACCTCGAGAGCGGCATTGAGAGTGACATGTTGACCTTGGTGTGCTGAAGTTGGTGCGACTGACCTCGGACCGGCGTCAAGGTCGACCTGAGGCTGCTGGCGATGGGCGGCGGCAAGATCAAGATGGGACTCCGGGTCGGATAGGCCCCGCGGAGTGCAGTCATCCCGGCTCATCTCTGGACCAGATCATCTCATCTCGTCCCGACTCGACTTTTCAATGCTGTCCTGTTGGGTTGTCCTGAACTGGTGAGCATGGCTGGTCGTGTCGTTTCGTTTCCCCCCCTTCGTTCGGCGACGAGTTCGCTGGCTGATGGTTACTGCGAGAGTCTGCCAGTAGCCATTTGTCGCCGGTCTGGTACACAACAGAAGGCGGGCAGCCGTCGGCCGATCAAGGAGACGGGAGGAGGAGGAGGAGGAGGAGGAGTAGGTGTATGTACTGCAAGTACTGCACTGGCCAGCACAGCACTGCAAAGGGTGAGTAAGGAAGAGTCGACTCGAATCCACTGCCCCCCGGACGAACAATATCAGGATTGAATCCGGAGGCTCTCTCTCGTGGAGATGCTAAAAATCAAGGCGAATGAACGAGCCAAGATTTATCAGAGGGCACGAGCGCACGACATTGTGCTGGGCCCCCCGTGGCCCCGGCCATGTGTGAGAGAATCAGCGAGGGAGTGAGGGCAAAGAGTGAGCAAGGTGGGGCAGAGCTCCCCCGTCGCGGCAGATTTGGAGATAGTGCCGACAACGATGCGGTGCGGTCTCTGGGCCTGGATCCGTCTGGAGGCCCCCGTCCGACCAGGTATAAACCGCAGAGTTGCAAGGGGACCGCAGGGTACAGCAACATTGGCATTGGGATTGGATTCGCGCGCAGGAGCTGTCTGTCCTGTCTGTCCTCGCCTGTCTGGCCATCCATCCATCGGCCATCGGCGGCAGGGCAGGCAGGGTGAGCATAGCATAAGAAAGTGAGAGGCCGTGTTTCTTGGCCGACGTTGACACAGTATGTTGCCCGCCGCTGACTGCGTTCACAGGCAGTGCGGATCCCAAGCCATGTCATCCTCTGTCGAGGTATCCAAGGGCCTTAATCCCAATGACAGACAGCGGGGAGCCACCCACCAACCGGGTCCTGGTCAGAGCCACGAGTCCAGTCCAGTCAAGCCAGGCATGAGCACGATTCCAGCAACCATCCATGGAGCACTGCACTGCGCTGCACTGCTGCACCGCACCCCAACAGCAACCCTGCTTGCGCGAGCTGTTCGTCCCGTTCGCCCTGCTTGCCCTGCTTGCCCAGCTCACAAGCCCCCTCGCCCGCAGGCTCCGTCACAAGAGACCCTGTCATGGTAGCCTCGTCGGGGTATTAGCCCCGTCTCGGCCGTAACCCTGTCACGGAAGGTGGCCAAGGTAGCCGGGAGGAGGGTGAGAGCTGAGCGCCGTTTGGCACCACCGTGCCGTTTCGTCTGCTACATTTGCCTGGGTCGCCTCTTTAGAGCCTGCAGGAACGGTAACTGGACCGACAAGGCGGAGCTTGGTGGTGCTGGGCTGGTGGTAGCTCGAGCCGTTGCCGTGGCTTGGGGTTCATGTTTCTTTTCCCGGTGCATTGTTGGTCCCTAGTGCGTCCTGGGCCGGTGTTTGATATTGCTTCTTTTCTTCCCTTCCTGCCTGTCAAGTCTCGCCGCCATGTCTCGCCGCAACGTGGATAGCTTCAGCACGCGCTCGGCCCTCAATCTCTCTCTCTCTCTCTCCTTGCTGAGGGTTTTCCCAGTGGGGCCCGGTCTGGCGGTAAGAGATGGAACCCTTTGGCAAGGAGCCGGCAAAGACCTCTGGGCGTGAGATTGGATAGTCCTCAAGGGAAGGGAGAGAGGTTAGTCAGTTGGCTGGCGGCTGGGACAATGTGGGATCAGAAGGGAAAAGAGGACTCGAAAAGTTCCGGCCGAAACCTTCGGGGTCATCTAGTCTGGTCTGTCACTGCAGACGCGTCTAAGCAAACCCAGATTCAGAAGCCGGAGCAACAGCGCGTGAACAGTGACAGCAAAGGGCCGCGCCAGCAGCAACGGCGGCGTCTGACCGGTGCCACCAGCTCCAGCACCAGGTTCTGTCTTGTCTCGCCTTGTCTCGCCTTGCTTGCCCCTGCTATGGGCGCTACTGCAACTTGGAGCTCGTAGCGTGCTTCTGTCTGTATCTGTCTTCCAACGACACGGTCTTTCCCTGCATGTGGATGATCGGCTGCGACGTTGCGAGATCAGCGGAAATTTGGTTAGATTATGTATGGGATAATAGGATCCTTGGGGGTGCGGTTTTTGCCGAGATGAGGCAAAAAAGAGTGAAAGAGAACAGACAGATGATACTGTACCAGCCGCCGGGACAATCAAACCCAAGTCCATGGTTGAGCCCGGGAAGGAGCTGGAGGTGAGGGAAAAAAGGCACCTGCAACCCTGCCCTGGTCTCTCTTTCCCATGGATCAATTAGTTAGTATGGAGCTTGGATGGAGGTTGTCAGAACGGGAGGGGGCCACCGAGCTTGGACTTGGGATGGAAGGAGCGTGGATGGGGACGAAAAAGGACCGTGCTCCTTCCCTGCTGGAACAGAGAGTTTGAAACCGGCGCCCTCAGCCAATGGGAGGGGCGGGAGCGACGGAACCCTTGACAGAGCACGCAGTGGGCAGCCGCTACCCTCGTGGCCCTGCACTCCGCCGGCCCTGGCACCTGCCTCAGAACCGTTGCGCTTTGGCCATCCCCGCTTCTTCACCGCGCGGTCGAAAGCCACCGAAATCCCGGTCGACCCTTCCTCATCTCGTTTTGTTCGAGGTGCGAGGCTAAAGAGGCCAGCCCTTGCGCAACACTGCCTGCATCTAGCATCTAAACGTTAGCACCTACATCAAGACCATGCGTAAACCCATGTACGTGTCTTTGGTTATAATATCCCGATACTCTTCGGAGCAAACAGCGCAATCTCGATGACCACCACGACTCAAAGGAAGCAAGGGAGAAGAGGAAAATCCTGCATCGCCCATCCCCAAAAAGGAAGATGAATGGTCCCGTCTTCCCAGCCCGGCGGGCTGCATTACGTCGGCCGGGTGCCCCAGCTTGATGCAACACCAACCTACGGACCGAGCCAGCCACGTCTCTCGCCCTCCCACAAGCCACAGACACGTCCGTCCTTCTGTCGAAGCTCTAGCCAACCTCGGACCAAGCCCCGGTTGGTCGTGTGGGTGTGATGGACGCAGGCTGCTTGCTTCTCTTGCTTGCAATCGAGGGTGATACAAGTCCTGGTTGGCCAATTCTGCTGTGGTTGATGAATCCATGCAACCAGAGGAACCTATGTAGTCCATGCAGCAAGCTGGCACTCGTCAGGCGACTTGTCGTGCTTTCAGCTCGTCAACCGGCCACCATCCAATCCACTCGACTTGGCTCAACTCGTCTCGGCAATCAAATCAATATGTATTAGGGATAATAGGTAGTTTATATACCCGAGCCTACTTTCCATGGTACTCGGTGTTTGCGTAGACAAGACAACTCGTTCATGGCATGCCAGCATGTTTGCATGTCGTAGCTGTAGCTCATGTTGAATGGCTTTCCCCCTCAGTGTGCCATTCCATAACCTGCTGTTGAGCTTTCTTTTTTTGTGTATCATCATGACCCAATAGACGCAAACATGGACAGAAAAGAAAAGAAACGAAAAAAGAACTGACCCAGACCAAACAAGGGCAGAAGGGGTAGTAGGGCTGTTGTTTGTCACCACACCGGGGACAAAGGCGTGGAGGGAGGGAGGTATGAGGCGGAGGATGTGAGTAAGGGTTGATAAGAAAGGGAACAACGAGGCCGCCTGCTGAAGAAATGAGAAACCCGAACCGAGTAAAAGGAAAAAACGCCCTCCCTGTAACCGTTTCCCATTGTATCCCCTTTCCACACTCCTCGCTCACCCTGTCACCCATATTGACCGCTCTATTACCCTCTCGCTTACTGAACTGAATTACAGTAGCGAATTTCCATCACTTGCTCGGTCCCTGCGGTCATCTCGCGACCACGCCGTCTCTCGCGGGTCCTCGTTCATCGTCTTATTCGTTGTTGCTCCACCACGTCTTCTCCCTTAGTGGCATCTCTTCACCCGCAGCCTTCCGGCTACCGTCATCCTCGGCCTTGTACGCCCAGTACTCACTCAACCGGAGCTCAGCGTACTGAGCATAGTCAAAGTCAATCTTGGAAATGACGGATTGGATCTGGGACCAGATGCCCCAGTAGAAACCCGGCACACCTCGGTATGCGTCGACCTCGTCCATGAGCTTGCGCACCTCGGCCTCCTCGTCGACGTCCTCGCCGGTCATGGAAAAGTACGTCTTGATGTACTCCTTCACGAATGCTAGCCGCTGGTCTTGTCTGGGCACTGCCGAGTAGTCGCAGTCATATCCGGCCCACTCGGCAAAGTGGTTGGCCACATCAAACGCAGCGGGCGAAGGAGTGGCATACTCATAGTCGATAAAGTCGACAGTAGGCGCCTCATCCCCGTCTCGGTGGATGATGACGTTTGCGCATAGCAAATCGCAATGCGCAAAGACGAGCTGCATTTTTCGCTTTAATTAGCCAATCTGTTAACCCCTGGGATCAGGCGCTTCGCAACATACCCCGTTCTTGCCAAGGCCAGGCCGTTGGCTCAACTTCTTGATCATGCCCTCCAGCTCCTGCTGAAGCAAGGCTTGCCTCTCGCGCTGAGCATCCGTGTCAGTCGGCAGGGCAAAGATCCACTTTTGCATGATCGTCCACATGTTAGGCGGGGGCTTCCCCGGAGCAGCGTTGTCAATCATGTCCTGCCGGGCCTTGGTTCCGTTGCCGTTTACGTGGCCGTTGCTGTTGCCGTTGACTTGACCATTAGAGGCTCCGTTGGTGTTGGCGGTGCCGTTCAGGTGCCTGTCGTCGCGGGCGTGGTTGGGGTCTGCCAGGCATGGCACCGTGGCATGCCACTGGGCAAGGCGGCGAGCAATGGCAGTCAGGATGAGAGGGTCACTGAGGTCCTGGGCACGGGCAACTGTGCCCAGGATGTAGCGGTACAGCATGCCATTCTTGAAGCGGGCGAGCAACTGCGTGGCGAGGCCGTGCCTCATGAGCAGCTCATGGTTCTCAGCCTCGCGTTCGCGGTCGATGAGGATGGCAGTCCCATGACCGTAGGCGCGGAGCAGGACGGAGTCCTTGTCCACGTCGACCTTGGACATGCCAGGACGACGGTTGACAGCCTTGAGCAGGGTGTTTGTGATGCCGTCAGTGAAGCGCACAAAGTCAACATTGGAGTCCTCGCTTGCCCAGTCGGGCATGAGGGTCAGGATGAGTTTTCGTGCCGAGTTATCAGAGTCATTATTGTCGTAGGCCAGGTCAAGGAAAGGCACATGGCCAAACTCGACGTTGGGCGGTGAAGCCGTCATGGTCACGCGAGAACAGAGACAAGCGTCGGCGAGTGAGAGAAAAAGAGATGAAGCTAAGCAACAGCAGGTCGCGAGGTGACGATGCGACCAGAAGTGATGATTAAGATGAGGGGAGGTTAGAGGCGATGAGAATTGATGCTCTGATGATGAGAGTTGCTCAGGTCGTTGACAGATTGATGTCCCAGGGGCTTCAGTTCAGGGGCGGAATCCGGAGGCGGGACAAGACCAGGACAGGACGGCCGGCGACGGTGGTGACAGACGGTGGAGAAAGGGGGCGCCGGAAGGAAACCAAGACTCGACAACGGAGCTGGAGGGAGGGGAGGGGGGAGAACGGGAGGGGTGGCAGCGGCCGGGGAGCGGAGAATTCGGGGAGGGCCGAGATGCGGGATGGATGTCGATATGCGATGCTGACAAGGACGGCGATGGCGGAGGCCGAGATGGAGATGGAGACGTCGGGAGGTGAACGGGGGGCGCGGGATGAAGTTAGGGAGAAGCACACGACCTGTTACCCTTCCAGTCGGGAGATGGACGAAAGCGCGAAATGGGATTGGGAGCAGGGAAAACGGGCGGTGGTTTTGTGGGCGAAGAAGAGAGCAGGTGGGCCAGTGAAATGGGTGGTCGAGACCATGTGAAGAGAAGGAGACGAGAAGCCGGTCCGCCACAAGTCGGATTTCGGATCTGGCAAATTTTTATCCAACGTAGTTAGATTGATGGATGGATGGGTCAAGAGGTCGCGTGTCACTTGGGAGGGACCCTTTGTTAGGTTGGACGTTGTTGAACGTTGTGCCGCTGCTGTTGCAAGAGTCAAGTTTCTCGTATCCTTTTGAGACGTAGGCAGGTTGGTTGCTGTACTACTTGAAACTCTCCTTGCCAAGGCACACGTCGGTTGATGATTTGCAACTGCCAAAAAATAGAAGAGATGGCCTTATTGTGCTCTCTCTCCGTGGGGGACAATGTTTGATGGATAAGAATAGCCGGGGATGAAGATGGAGGGAATGAGTGGAAATGGGATGGATAAATGGACATTAATAGGGGCTTTGATTCTTGACTTGATGGACTCGACTCCAATGGCTCCTTCTATTAGTGCCTGCCTGCCTACAGCACCTCCATAACGTCTTGGCCGTCCCATCCACAATCACATGTCCTCGATTCGATTAGTGGCTGTCTTTTAAGAGGACACCTGTATTTTGCGCGTATGGATTCGTATGCGCGGGCACTCATGCTATGCCTCATGCGCATGCCGTCTAGGCGGCGGAGGGCTGGTAAATGGACCCTGATTTACGAGCTGGGCCCTCTTCTGAGTGAAATTAACGACGGTGCACCTGCCTACCTGCACCTCGCGACCCCGGCCTGTAAGACGACGAATATCCAGTTATGGATCGAGAAAAACAAATTGTGTTGGGAACTGATTCTGTTGGGCAGGCTTCTTTCTTCAGCTGTCAGAAAAAAGATCCAATCCAATTACTCGCAATCCCTTGCCACTGACGAGAACAAGCATTGCCCCCTTATTAGAAAAAATGTCACGGCACAAAGAAATTGGTTGCGCAAAATGACACGCCTACCTACCCAATCTAACTCTGTTTTGATTGTCGATTGCCTATTCTACACACCGACTTTACAACTGATTGTCTCGCTATCGTGCCGTGCTCCCCTAAAACTCTGTGCGTGACAACAAGACGCCCCCCCGCCAGTCGATCGGTTCAGTCCAACAAGAGGATCAAAACTCCAAAAGATCTCGTACTTTTTCCTCCTTGACCGCCTGCCGCTAGGATCAAAGGACCCTCTGTTGGCCCTACGGATGCAAGTGCGCACCGACTTTTGTCGTGCACTGACGAATCTGGGCCCCTACAAAGAAAGGAATGCCATGCCTCGACTCGACTAACCCATGACGCCACATTCTAGCCTCCCCCCACCCTCACGAGAGTGGCGCTCTTGAGGCTCAGGTCTCAATCTCACTCATCTCAATCTCCACAGGCGCCATCATTGGATGAGCCATCGCGACCAACTTCATGAGATTTGAGGGGGCCAGCCCAGTCAGTTTACAGCATCGCAAAAAAAGCCAGACGGCACATGTTTTTCTTCTTATCAGCTAGTTAAGCTCTGTCCCTCTATATCCATCCATTGGACCCTATCATGTGACCGCGCCAGCCATGGCCGTGCCCAGCGTCACCAGCGACAACTTTCTCGCCGTCGCCCTCGTCGTCAACCGCTCCCGCGACGGCCCGGCCTTTGTCTTCCACTACCCTGCCCATGTTCAACCCGCCTCCGGCTCCGGCCCCGCCCCCGGCTCTGAGCTCGAGGACATCATCCTCGAGCGCCTCTCCCAGCAGGGCTACCAGGACGTCGCCGACGACGACGCCTCTCTGCCCAAGCAGGCCCGCAACCCGGATGACCACTTTGTCACCGAGTCTGGCACCCAGATTGTCCCCTGGGAGCGCGTTGCTGGCTTCCCCGCCCGTGATCTTGCTGGCATCTTGACACCCGCCCGTCCCTATCACAAGCGCCTCTTCCAGCTGTCCCTGGATCCCCTCTACTGCGTCTCCTATCCCATCCACGTCCCTGAGAATGGAAAGTGGAAGAAGCCCAAGAAGACAGCTCGCTCCAAGAAGCTCTCCACCTACACCGATGACCCTACCGGTCCTCATGAAATCGACCCCTTGGCTCCTGGGAAAGCACCAGAGCAACCCGTTGAGGAGAAGGAGGTCAAGAAAGAGGAGGGAAAGGACAAGGACGATGAGAAGCGCAGTTCCATGACCATGTTTAACCTCGTCTTTATCCTCAACCCCAGCAGTAATGAGGTCAAGGATGTTGTTGAGACCCTCTACGACCACATCATCAAAAAAGTTAGCAAGGTTTTTAAGTATAGCCAGCAGCATAGCGAGTTTGTCTGGAAGGAATCAAAGCGAATCCTCGTTGCCAAGGATAAGGCACGAGAAGAGCGTAAGTCTGCCATGATCTCAAGCCCGAAGATGTGTTGATTAACATGGCTTCTAGGCAAAAAGATGAGTGTGTTATGGAGGGAAATCATACAGAGCTCATCCCTGGCTGCCGCCATGCACGACATCTACGAGGCAGTATCACAGAACAAGATCGCGGCTCTCCATCTAGATACTGCAGCTGGTGCCCTCACCCCTTCAGTTCAGGTCCCTATTCCCTTCTACATCGATGATCTTCCCCAAGGCGAAGAAGGGACTCAGCGCGGCTTATGGCTCACCACGGCAAACACATTTATCAGCCAGGATGCCCTCGAGGAACCCGGTTTCTTGGATCGGAATTTCGCGCTATTACTTACTGATGACGAAAAAAAGATCATCTCTGAGCTTCAGGCCGACCCAGATCCTACAACGGCCTCCGTGGTCGAGTTTGTGCGGCTATCTAAACCTACACAATCGTGAGTGCTCACCCATCCCTACACACGATCTCACCTCTTACACTCGATCGCAGTTTCTACCAAGTCGGCCAGAGCAACATCCTCACCTTGGGTCAAGTTCGTAAATATGCACAGCACTTTATCTTTTGGCGTCGAGCCATCGCCATCCCCCCTCTACACGCCAAGGACCAGTACATCCTCTCCCCGAATTGTGATCTCTCCCGCCTCTCCCTCGACACCCTCGAGTGGCAGCGAGCATTCCCTCTTGCTCCGCCCCTCCCCAATTTCCTCGCGGAGCTCTCTCAGACCCCTCGTCCCTATAAACAGTTCTCCCCCAGCAAAGCCCACCGGCCCACATACCTCCTCATGCTGGCCTGGCTCATGCGTCGTGGTTGGGTCACCCAGCTCTGCACTTTTGCCTACGTCGTAGTCTGGCCTGAGATTCTCTACGAGGTTGAGTACGAGATGGAGGCTGAGGAGATCCGTGCCGCCGCCGATATCGATTCGAAATCCGGCTCCTCCACCGCCGCTACTGGGGCGCCCCGCACCTCCGAGTCTTCCGAAGACCACTCCGGAACCGACGGCTCCCATGTCCCCACCGTCGCCGAGCAGGCCGCCGAGAAAGCCCGGCTCGAGCGTATCGCCTCCAAGGCCCAGCGGGATGCTGCAGAAAAGGCTACTGCCCACGCCCGAAAGGTCGTGCCTGTCGTCACGGCTCACCCCTCAGTCAACGACCACCCTCATCTTGCTGGCCTCACGCCGCACATCATCCTAGATGCCAAAAAGGCCACCGGCAAGGAGTCGCGCTACCTTTCAGCTATTGCGCGCCGTTTCAATGACGAGAAGCTGGCAAACAGCTGGCAAGTCATGTGCAAGTATTTCGATGGCCGTTGCGCCCTGGAGCGCATAGCTTTGCAGGAGGACATGAAGCGCAAGCTAGTCTGGAACACCCTGACGGCCATGAGTGAGCATCTCCTCTGCACCCGTCACTGGTGACATAGTCACCGTAATTTGTCATTTGGCGGCAGCCACGGATGGGACGTAGATATATAATGATAGGTATCTCGGTTGTGGTATCTAGACATGAAGAGCAATAAAACAAGTATAGTACTGTGGGAATACAGTAACCCAGAGGTGCCAAGTATTTCTCCCATCCAAAAAGCTCGCTCAGACGAGTACCAGGCCTTACTTTCCCATCACCTCTCAGTAGATCCCAAAGGGAGAACCACAAATGGCGCATTAGATTGCAAGCAGATGAAGCAGAAGAAAAGATAGGAGTAGAGAGAAGTGAAGATTCCTAACCCAGAGACATGACATGACAGGCCTTGCGTTGCCTCCCCTTCACCACCCATCCCGGAACTGGCCCAGGAAACCATCCCCTAAGGTATCGCGACATAAAAGAAATGAACAGAACCCCTAAACTAAAGCACGACCCATAAAACAAATAATCCAGTAAGCAACGAACCCCGCGAGCACAATTAGAAACACGATCCGGATATGCCCCTGCTCTGTATAAGCCTATATACCTTAGCCCACGCCTTGACGCGCCGAGGCCGTTCCTCAAAGAGTGAGAAACGCACCCACAAGTAACCCAGAAACAATCCCACTGCCCAAACACCAAGAGAATGTC